AGTAATCCAATGGTAAAGTTTTTGTCTGTTTTCTAAGAGTCAGGCTCTCACTCTGTCATCCAGCTTGGAGTGCAGTGGTGCGATCGTAAGTCACTGCAGCCTCTAACTGCTGGACTCAGGCAGTCCTCCTTCCTCAGCCTCCTTAGTAGCTGGGATGACAGGCATGAGCCGCCATGCCCTGCTTGAAAAAGAGTTTTGAGAAATTGTTCTGGAACATGTGGATATTCCTGTGGGGAAAAAAGTGAACCCTATTTCATACCCTACACAAACATTAATTTGGGATGAATCAGAGACCTAAACGTAACGGCTTAAACTATACAGCCCCCGTAAGAAATTATATTGTGATTTAAAGACAGCAAAGATTTCTTAGACAAGACACAGGATTTCTTAGGACACAGGACAGAGCCGTAATGCTACTGAAGAAAGATGTGCTAAGTTAGGCTTTATTAAATTAAACATGAATATTTGTCAGAATATCATTAAGAAAATCAACAGCCAGGCTAGAGACTGGGGGAGGAATCACAAAACATATCTGACATGTATGGAGAATATGCGAAGAACTCACAGAATTCAGTTGGAAGACAGACGAGCAATTTTTAGAAATGGACAAAAGTCTGGAACAGACCCTTCACAAAGCAAGGTTTACAGCAAGGACACAGGACCCCTCCACAGCGTTGGCCATCAGGAAAGTCCCAAGTAGAACCACAGCCCTGTTTCACTCCACGCCCACTCTGGGGGCTGAAATGAAAAAGACTGGCACAGCAGAAGCGGATGAGGATGTGGAGCAGCTGGGCTGCTGAGCGCTGCTGGCTGGGGTGTGGAATGCACCCACTTTAGCAAAGCATTTGTCAGTTGCTTATGAGGTTGAGTATAGACCTCCCCTTTGACCAGCAACTCCACGCCTAGTGGAATTTCATTTCCAAAGGAAAATAAAGCATGTGTAACCCCCCGCCCCACCCACTACACATGTGTACACCTGCGCACACACACACACAGCTTGAATTCCCATGTAGCAGCTTTTATTCACAATTACCACAAACTTGGAGGCAACCCGAATGTCCATCAAGAAGGAGAATGGTAACGTGTTGTTATCCATGCCATGGATTAGTACTCGGCTGGATACAGGAGTGGGCGGCAGATGTGGACAGTAGTCAGAATGGATGTGTCTCAAAGACCCAATACTGAGGGAAAGAAGCCAGGCACGAAAACAAATCTAATGCAGGACGCCCTTGACATTCAACTACAGACAAGGCTCGTCTGTGGTGAAGAACAGTTAGGAGGGTGGTTGCTGGGGATGGGGAAGAACCTGATGGGGAAAGGGAGGAGCTCAGGTGAGATGAAAATGTTCTGTGATGTGGGAGGGCATGAGAGACACAGGTGTATCCCTTTGTCAGAAAGGTACTGCTGAGGGTGTATTTTGATCCTTAAAAAGCTTTGCAGAAATATTGTGAAAACCCTGTACATGGCGTTTCTCACCAAGCTTGAGACTCAGCAGCTGCTCTGTAGATGTGGGCTTGTGCCTAGATCCAGGCGTGACAGTTCTGACTTAAAGATGGGTCAGGGAAGAGGGAGGTGAGCAGGGGACTCTGCCTTCCGGGTCCCTTTTCTAGGTTCACCCGGGCTTCGAAGCATCTTTCACGTTTCTTTTGTTCAGGAAGATTCTGACCACCCCAGTCTTCTCTGTCCTCTCCCTCCTTAAAATGTTTGGGCTCGGGCCAGGCACCGTGACTCACGCCTGTAATCCCAGCACTTTGGATGGCCGAGGTGGGCGAATCACCTGAGGTCAGGAGTTCAAGACCAGCCTGACCAACATGGAGAAACCCCTGTCTCTACTAAAAATACAAAATTAGCCCGGTGTGGTGGTGCATGCCTGTAATCCCAGCTGCTGACCTGGGAGGCTGAGGCAGGAGAATCACTTGAACCTGGGAGGCGGAGGTCGCTGTAAGCCAAGATTGCATCATTGCACTCCAGCCTGGGCAACAAGAGTGAAACTCTATCTCAAAAAAAAAAAAAAGTTTGGACTCAGGATGGGGCTTGCTCGCTCTCCCCCATCCCGGGATCAGTGGATCGTATGCTGTATTTTCCAGAATACACTCAGGCCTGGTGTCAGATCTGGGCACGTCATAGGGTTCTCAGTAAATGGCAGTGGGAGGCTGCTGCGGGGGGAGGCATGAGCGAAGGATGTGTGTCCCTGGCGTCCGAAAGACCCTGCGGCAGCCAGAGCTGGGCTTTCCCATATGCACCGTGACAAGCCTGGGGCTCCTGTGGGAGAGGAAAGATGTTGCATGTGGTCAGCATCCCCGCCTGAACCCGGTTCTGGTCGGCTCATGATGGGGGCTGCACTAGGGCCTTTATGAGCAGCCTCCTGAGTGGTGGGGTAGAGCCCTGGACCCTGTTGGGATGCCCCACAGTGCAGCTGTTTGCCATCCCTGTGTGGGACAACTCCAGGCCCCAGTCCAGGCCCAGCTTGCAGCCTTTTTTAACCATTTCATCAGCTCTTGCAGCATTTAATAGCCAGCCCCCCTTCTTCCACCTGGCCTGTTGGAGAGAAGCTGACGTCTGTCTCTAGACAGTGTGAGTGGCCTCATCTGCCCTTGAGTTGTCTTGTTGAGCAGCCTCGAAGCTTCCCTGTCTTGCCTCGCCTCCAACTGTCAAGAGTTCCCGACAGGCTTTGCCGCCAGCCTCACTGTGCCATGTGATAGAAACATGGGGAGCAGCCCCTTGCCTGCATCCTGGCATCCTGGCGGGCAGAGCGGTGGGGGCTGTTTTCATCTGGAGAGGCAGGGGAGGTGATTTGTGTCATTGCTGGTGACAGTTTCTAAGACAATTGCCAGACCTGGCTGGGGACAGACCTTTGAGATGGGTTAGTAAGAAAACCTGTGCGCACACAAACACCCGTCCTGCCTTATGTCTGTTCCTGGGGGGCCTCTGTCACCAGACTGTGGGCCCAGCCCATCTGAATGAAGGCTGCGTTTGCCCCGGCTTCAGTTTTCCTGAACGGCTGAGCAGCACCCTAACAGACCTCTCGCGGTGTTGGGTGGGGGGGGAGGGAACAAGACAGTGACCGAGGGCCGCAGCCCTGCTGCTTGCTGGCAGTTCGTCCGTGTTTGTTTCAGTCTGCACAGCGGTGGCAGCGCTGTCTACTTCCAAGGATTCTGTGAGGCCTGAAAGAATAACTGGTTTTTTTCAGGTGCTGGCACACAGAGGGGCTTGCCCAGGGTGGGTGGCTCTTTGAATGCGGATTGGAGGATTCTGTGTCTGTCCCATGGCCATCTGCCCTCTGCCAGCTTTGCTACTCTGGCTGGCTTTCAGCCGCTTCACTCACACCTGTAGTGGTGCAGAAAATGAAGTACCTGGAGCGACAGCTTCCTCCGCCACTTTTGCCTACCTGCCTGTAGGAAGCTCTGCAAGGCAGGAGCTGGGCTCGCCCCCGGCTTCCCCTCTAGAGAGGCCCAGATGCTTCGCCCACAGGCAGACGGTGGGTGGCTCATGCATTGTGGTGGATCCTCCAGGGAAGGTGCCGAGGGCCTTCCTTGAATGCACACGTGCCTCTCTCTCTCAAGCAGACCTTAAATGGTCCTCCCCAACCCCAGCCTAAAAAGGCAACGGCTGATATTCAGAGGCAAGGTTTGGGATGAGACTGTGGCATGCAGTGTGGCTGCGGAGCCCGTTCCTGAGTGCCGCAGGGACCGTTCCTACCCCGGCCTCCATCCTCGCCTTGCCTGCCTGCATGCTGGCCATGGTGGCAGTGGAAGGGGGTACCCTGCATTTATTTCCGTCCTTCCAGCAGTGAACTTTGTCACCCACTTTGAGCCTAGGCTGTGAGAGGCGTCCTTGTACAGGCTGAGGGCATGCAGGGCTGAAGACACATCCAGCCTGGGCCTGACGTAGCTCCTGCCCTGAGCTCCCGGGTGTAGTGAGCCCCCAGCAGGGCCTGTGGGAACAGGGGTGGTTGGCTCAGTGGCTGATAGAGTGGCAGACTTGCTGAGCCCCAGCAGGCCAGGGTGGAGCATCAGGAGGGCTGAAGAAGCCCAGTGTGGGGAGGAGCCAGGCTGGTCAGCTGCCACGCACAGTCACTGGAAATGTTCCCCAGTGTAGGGAGGAGCCAGGCTGGTCAGCTGCCACGCACAGAGTCACTGGAAATGTCCCTCAGTGTGGGGAGGACCCAGGCTGGTCAGCCGCCACTCACAGAGTCACTGGAAATGTCCCCCAGTGTGGGGAGGAGCCAGGCTGGTCAGCTGCCATGCACAGAGTCACTGGAAATGTCACCAAGGAGCTACATTGAGCACACGATTGCCTGCAGGAGTCCAGATCACAGACCATGTGGGGGTCCTGGTGGGCGTCTTGGAGGAGGTGGCCCAGGAACTGAGTCCTGCAGGCAGAGGGGTGGTTTGTTGGAGTAGGACCATGAGCTACAACAAAGCTTTATTGTATCAGGTTTTGGCAGGAATTTCTTTGGCTCTGGTTTCAGAGGGCAAATGACAAACTCCAGGTCGCTGTCCATGTACCTGGGACGTTTGCACCTTGGCTCCAAGGACTGGAAGAGCCAGGGCTGAGCCAGAAGCACTCAGGGCTCCAGGTCACAGCCTTGGGCTGGGGGGAAAGGGGCTTCTGGTCTGGAGGCAGAAGCTGCATGCGCCCATCAGATAGGAGTGGGAAGATTCTGGTGAGGGCAGGGGTCCTGGCCCTGGGCCTCTGGCCTGTGTCCCCAGCATTTAGCAGAGGGCTGGAGAAGTGGGGGCTTGTCCTGGTAGATCTGTCTGAGATGCACATGTGGAGGCAGCAGGCAGAGCCCTCGAGGATGCTCCCTGCGCTGTCCAGTTCATGCCCACAGACGCCCCACAGGCGGGGCCCACCGCACTCTGTAGACTGAGGCCCAGGCAGCTGACCTCACTGTGGCTCCAGCTGCCTGCATCCCTCGTGGACCCTCATGCTCTGCGGCTCCCCAGTCAGGGTGGTGGGAGCCTCCCCTGCCCTCTAACCTGCCTCCTCCTGTACAGCGAGCATGACCTGGGGGAGGACATCTACGACTGCGTCCCATGTGAGGATGGAGGGGACGACATCTATGAGGACATCATCAAGGTGGAGGTGCAGCAGCCCATGGTGAGCCTGGCCCCTCTCAACCCCCTCCCCTCCCCCTCTCCTCTCCCTTCCCAACCCCTTCCCCTCCCCTCCCCTCCCCTCCCTCCTCCAGTCCCCTCCCCTCCCCTCACCCACATAGCAGCCTGGCCCTTGCTTAACACAATACCGAGCTGTCCCCATGTCTGAGCCACCGAGGGGGAGCTGCCCTGGGTACAGGGGGACATCCAGAGGGTATATCCCATGGTCCTTCCCAGTTCCCACAGGGCTCCTCTGAGGCACATCCTTGGAAGCCCTCACTGACTCCTGGTCCACTGAGTGCCCTTCCTCCCTATGGAGGTGCTCTCAAGTGCCCCAGGTGCGACATCACCACCATCATGACCCTCCGCCTGCGTTGCCGCAGGATCCTCTGTCTAAGAGTTTGCAGGGCCCTCAGTCCCTCCTGCCCAGGGAGCCCTAAGATAGTAACTTGGCGCACAGTCTAACAGCGCGCATCATTTTCCCCCTTTGTGTGGAGAGTGATGAGACCAGTGTCGGCCCAATTAGCCAGCTGTGCATCTTTTATGTTGCAAGGATGTTTATTTCCAAGCAGGCGCTGGCGAATAATCTCTTGGACGCCAGTTTGCTCAGTTTGGGTTTATTGCCAGCAGCTGCTGTGTGGAAGGTGGGCATCCAGTGGGGCTGGGATGGAGAGATGGGGACCGGCGGGGGGGCAGGTCACAGGCCCTCGGACTCCCAGGCTCCTGAGCAGTGGGCGAGATGCCACTTGCCAACTGCAGAGGCTTTTGATGCCATTTGCTTTCCCTGAAGACATGGGAAATTTCTAGCCGACTTCAGTGTTTTCCTTCACTGCGGGAGTAACCAGCTGGTGGTAGAGAGGCAGAAAGCTGGGGAAACAAATCCCCAAAGAGGCCTTGCCGGCAGGGGGGCCTCACCCGATCTGCTGGTGTCCTGCTGGGAGAGACAGGCAGGTGCAGGGCTGGGGGTCTCAGCCCCCAAATGGACTCTTAAGAGCAGGTTTCTCTGCTTGTCCGTAAAGGGTCTTGAGGTGAGTTTTGTTCCCCGCTATTACAGGGTCTTTCTCCAGGGATGACGGCCCTTTGTGGAGGCAGCAGGGCCTCCAGTTTGCCTTCCCGGGGAGCCTGGCTGGGTGGCCCTGCTCCCAAGACTTCCAGGGCAGCTGTTAGGGCTGGAAGGCTGAGCCATGGCACTGCTGCTGGGGCTCCCCTTGTCTCCCCGGAGCTGGCCTGAGAGGTCCCTAGGTGGCCGATGAGCCATCTGGACTTGGGAATGAGGTCTGACTGGTCAGGGCCAGTCCACTCCTCGTTGTTTGAAAGCTGGGTGTCCGGCGGGTAAACTTCAGCGGGCACATGCAGTGCCTGTGAGGTGGTGCCTGGATCACACAGGCCCTCTCTCTTGACACCCCCATTTGTGCCTGGCCAGAGTGGGTGCTCCTTGGAGCCCACTGCTGTCCCGGGTTCTGAAGCACCTGGGAAAGAACAGAGAGCATCCACAGAACCTGCCAGGCTGCGGGCAGTGCTGCCTGTGTCCGGGCTGGGCCACATTCTGCTGTCCCGCTCTGTATAGGGTCCTAATGCCCATTGCTGGTCCCACTGGTCTTGAGCTGTCCTGTCCATCCAGGCAGGGGCTGGGGGCAAGGGGTAGTTCCTGCTTCCTGCCAGGTTCCTCTGAGAGAAAACAGCTGCTTCCATGTCCTCCCTTGTCCTGCCTGGAGCTATCTGAGCAGCACCAGTAGAAGGTAATAGAGATGGTGACGTCTCCAAAGGGAGATAGGCCAGAGGATGGCAGGTGCCCCTTCCAGAGCCTGGGTAGGGGTGCTATGGGAGCTCTGGCCCCCAAGCCTTCTTCCGCCAAGCTGGGCAGCACCAGGGGCTGTGATGTGATTAGGGTCTGCTGGCTGTCGTGGGGTGGTGTTCCTGACACCCAAGCCCAGCTTGTGAGGACACTGTGGGCCCTGCTAACTGCCACTGTTTCTGGTTTCTTTCTCCACGCTTGCAGATTAGATACATGCAGGTGAGTGGCCCTGGAAGGGGAGGTTGGGGACGTCCTGCCTACGCCATCTTCTTGACCTTTCAGGAAGGTCTCAGACCTCTGAGAAAACTCAGGACCCTGCCCTCAGGGAGACGTGGTCAGGCACACGTGACTTTGGGCATCAGGGACCCTCAGCACCCCTGTGGCCCTGTACCCCCAGCCCCATCTTGCACGTTGCCTTAGATCTGCAGCCCAGCAGACCCAAGGGGATCCTTGGGCATTTCCTGGAGGATGATGATGGTCTTAGGGCAGACACCAGTGCCGTGGGTCACAGCGACGTTTCTCCAGAGCCTTCTGACAGATGTGGTTCACCCAGCCTAATAGCACCTTAGACAGTGTCGGAAAAATCCACCACTCCCCACAGTGACCCCACCTGTCGCCTCACTCTGGACCACTGGCCAGGCAATCTCCGAACAGTCCTGCCCCGGCCACATTCTTCCAGAGGTGGGGGCAGGCCCTGCTCTGGAGGAGGCACCAGGGGCCTTACCAGGGGGTGTCATCTCAGGCCCCCTGGTTAGAAACCAGTAGGCACTCAGGGGAAGAGTCCGGCCTGCAGGTGGCTGGCACTGGGACGTGCAATGGTGGGTGTGGTCTGCATGGAGTCAGGCACCCGTCTGCCATGTAGAGAGGACTGCACGCAGTAGGTACTTTAGCAGGTCACCCTGCTCCTGTGCTGGAGGGGTGGCTTCTGAGGTGCTTGCTCCAGTCTGGTAAAGAATTGAGATTCTGAATCGGAGGCGTAGGAGCCTGGGATTCTAGAAACCTCCACCTGCAAGCCTGCCTTGGCACTGCCTCTGTGCCGCATCCCCTCCCCATGCCTCAGTTTCTTCACCTGCAAAATGGATGGGAAGGGGTTGGTCCCCTCTGTCATTCATCTGGCTGCGGCACTGCACACTCAGTGACCTCGTGGCCAAACCCGAGGAGGTGTCGTCTTGTGTAGGGGTGTCCGGGTGTCACGGGGCAGATGCGCAGGCAGCAGGTGGCCAGCCCCATGGGGTCCTGCTGATGCCCCCTTCCCTCCTGTAGAAAATGGGCATGACTGAGGATGACAAGAGGAACTGCTGCCTGCTGGAGATCCAGGAGACTGAGGCCAAGTACTACCGCACCCTAGAGGACATTGAGAAGGTGAGGGTGGGTGTTGGTTGCTGGAAAATGGCCACAGCCACTGTGGTCATGGCGGGGCCATTGCCTCTTGGGAATGCATTCTGGAGGCAGGACCACAGGGCGTCTCTGATAGGCAAAGGAGACTCAGTGGCCCCCCCAGCCTCCAGTACCCCCTTCCCAAAAGGAGGGTGCCCTCTCCTTTCCTCTGCAGCCCCTGAAGCCCCGGCCTGCAGGTGTCCCTCCTCCCCCGAGCCTAATCAGGGTGGGATTATGGCTTCAGCTCCTGAGCGTTTCTCAAAGGCAGGCCCTGAGCTAGCTCCTTGAGTGTTCCCCCCAGCCTGCCTAGAGGGGCTCCCCAGCCTCTGCACACTCAGCCTTCCCCTCTGTAAAATGGGGCAGCTCCCATGGGGCCTGGGAGTGTCCTGCACAGGGTGTGGTCGGGCCTGATAACCATAGCCGCAGACTCCGAGCCCCCTGCACAGCTCTTCCACCCCCATGCATCCGGGTCCTCTTTCCTGCCAACCGGTTGAGCTCCCGGAGGGCCGAGGACCAGACTTCACCTGCCCTTCCCCGCTCGGGCCTCCTGTGGGCACCTGGTCGGCCGGCCCTGGCACATTTCCCCAGCACTTCTGAGTCTTTATTGCCACCTGCCAGTATTTACTGGAGAGAAAAACCCATGTTGTTTTCAGGTTGGAGTCTTTTTCTATCTTCTGGTTGTGGTGTGGGGTCCAGGTTGGCCATGATGCCTCCAGCCGAGAGACCTGGGCTGCCCCATTGGGCCCAGGCTGGCCTTGCTCTGGCCGGGCCCCTCCTGCTGCCCCACCCTCCAGTCCCTGGCCAGCAGCCTTTCTGCATACACATGTGTACACCCTGGCCCAGGTCCTTCCAGTTCCCTCAAAGCCCTGCCCGAGCCCTCCAGAGTCCCGCCCCAGCCCTGGCAGAGTCCCGCCCCCTCTGGGAATCCTGGCCCTGAGGTCAGCTTCTGCTGGCCTTCGACTCCCTCCATGGCTGAGTGCTGCCTCAGAAAGCAGGAGTTCTCCTGGGGTCTGTCTCCACCCCACCTGAGGCTGTCACCGAGGTGTGTCTGTTTCTGCTTGGGCGATGCGCTCTACTCCCCATGGTGGCCAAGTGGCAGTCCAACAGCTGGGCCCAGAGGACGCCTGCAGAGCTGCTGGCCGCCCCAGCCAGAAAGCACTTGGGGAGCAGGAGAGGAGAGGGTGGCAGGGCGTCCCGGGCCTCTGGAGCAGGGAAGCAGCCTCACCTGGCCTCATCTTCACTTCACTTCCTGCCTAAGGCTGGGGCTGGAGGCCTCTGGTCCACTCCCTGCCCCTCCAGAACTCCTCGGGGTGGAGAGTGTCCCTTTTGCTAACTAACAGTTTTGGGGTCGTGCTCAGGAGCACAAGCTCAGTGTCTGAGTTCTGATTGCCCTGCCTCCTGGGTCTCAGCTCCTCACCACAAGCCACAACCGAACTCCCACCTCAGGGCAGCCACACTGCAGCACCCAAATCCACCCTGTGTGTGAGTGGCCTCTGCAGGACTCTGCCCCAATCATGCTGGGAGCATTAGAATCTTTGCCCTTGCACCTCCCCCTGCCCCCTGTACTCACCCCCGAAGCATGGAGCCCCATGTGGCCAGAACGCAGGCGGGCCCCAGTAAGCATGGAGTACCCCAGTATGCCTTCTTGTGGAGCTGGCCCGAGACCCTCCACCAGCAACTGTGACCTTGAGAGGGCGGGTGACAGCAGCAGGGTGGCAGCGGTGGGCTTCTCTCTTCCAGAACTATATGAGCCCCCTGCGGCTGGTGCTCAGCCCGGCAGACATGGCAGCTGTCTTCATTAACCTGGAGGTAAGGGTCCTGGCCCCCTTGCTCATGCCAGGCTCTGGGCCTTAACTTGGCACTGGCCGTACATGTCCTGCTGTGCCCAGGGCCTTGGAGAGCTGCGCCCCTGCGGCTCCGCGGCGGCATGTGCTGGCTGGAAGGAGGAGACCTCACTCCCCTCTCCAGTGTCTTTAGGTTTAGGAGTCAGGGTGGCAGGTTTCTGGGCTCCCGTTGTCTGCGGGTCGGGGTGGCACTGACCTGCATGGCTGGAGGCACAGATGGCCCTGGGAATGTAGATGAAGTTTTTGTCAGTGGCCGGAGAGCAACGTGTCTCTCCACCCCTTTGAGAAGACCCCTCACCTGCTCTGCTGGTGTCTGAACACAGTCACAGAAAGACAGTTCCCCAGGCAAAGAGTCACCAGGTTTCAGCAGCCGCCTGTGGGTGGGCTTCCTCCGGGGACACGCTGCTCCTGGCGCTTCCTCTGGGCCTGGTGGCCACAGGTACCCACAGCCCATGTAGTAGCTATGTCCTGCCCTCTTGGGCGTCTCATTAGCTGCAAGGGTGGGCTATGGCTATGCTGTCCTGGACAAGGCTGGCTTGGACCCTGCAGCTTCCAGCGGCCTGTGCCTCTGACCCAGAGTTCATCCGGCCATGGGCTGTGGCCAGGATGGAGGAGCACACACAGAAAGAAGCCTGGGGCGGGGCTGCGGGTCCCGGGGTGCTAGCTGAGCACGGCGGGGCTGCGCTGTGCTGCACCACTCTAGCTGCAGAGCTGGCCCCGAGCCGGCCACTGTGTGTCAGATGGGCTGATGTGGGCTGTGGGTGGCGTCCTTCCCACACGGAATGGCTCCTTGGGGCCCCATTGCTCTAGAACCTTCTACCTGAATTACACCCTGGCATGAACAGATAGATAGGAAGGGTGCAGGCCCAGCACCTGGGCCCCTCACCCGCTCGACAGGAGCCACAGCAACATGAGGGTGCGTCCAGGACAGTGCTCCCATCTTGCCTCGGGTGGGCCTGGCCAGGCACTCACGGCTCTTTTTAACGCAGGACCTGATCAAGGTGCACCACAGCTTCCTGAGAGCCATCGATGTGTCCATGATGGTGGGGGGCAGCACACTGGCCAAGGTCTTTCTTGATTTCAAGGAAAGGTGAGTGGCTGCCCGCTCCTCCCTGTTTGCAGGGGCGTTTACACACGTGGGACTCTTGGGTGCTGGGTGTCTGAGGCAGGGGCCGCCCCCTCTGGACCCCGTCCTACCTTGTTGAGAATGCCACCCACCCCGAGCCATAGCCTGGTTGATGGAGAGCCAGCCTCCTGTCCTGTGGGAGCTTGGCAGGGGGAGGATGGGATTCCAGACACTTCTAATTAGCTGTGAGGGGCGGCTGTTGGAATGGTTCCGTGTCCCTGTGGAGATCTTGGGGCCCTGCTTCTCCCTTCTGCACCTTTGTGGCTGGTTCTTTAGAGTTAGGATGCAGACAAGGATGAAAGGAGGTGGCACAGGGGGCTGTTGGAGGCCAGGGAGGTCGGATTTCTGGGGTTTAGATGATGCCCAGGCTGATGGAGGCCGTGGAGATGGCATTTCTAGCCACAGACATTTCGAGAGAGCCCCATCAGGGACGGTGCCAAGCTCTCTGTTCCTCGGAGAGCCTTTGGAGGGGCCTGAAGGGGTCTGTGCTGATGCTTCCTGAACTTGGCTGCTCACTAGAGCCACTGGGGAGCTTGATACAAACACCATGTTCTGGTTCGTCTTAGAAGGGTCTGCTGTAGGGTTTGGGGCTGTAGAAGACCCCACAGGGGCATCTGACCACATGGCCCTGGGCATTGGGCGCCTTGGTGCCTCTCTTGTTTGTCTGTAGGAGGGTCCCCTTCATTGTCCACCAGGTGCCTGTCAGCACAGCTCACACACCCCTCCCTGTCCAGGCAGCCGGGGACAGGCCCAGGGCTGGATTTTCGGGCGCGCTGCATGGGAACCATGCAGGTGCTTCCCTGTGTGCTCCATAGCTCCAGGAAAGGAGCTCCCCTTCCCCCGCAGGGAGGGTCCCGGAGCCTGCTGTCTGGGGGCCATGGCTTGGGGGGTTCCCGGAATCGTGAGGGAACAGGCAGTGCCAATGGTCAGGTGGCAGAGGGGACCAGGAGAGCTGATGAGGCCCAGCAGGTGTGAGCACACTGGCCAGCCCTGGTGGGTAAGAGTGGGCAGGGGTAGGGGACAGGACTCTCTCACCTGCCCCCAGCAAGGTGTTCCTTTCACCTGCGGGTGAGCCAATAGTGCCCAGCTGGCAGGGTCACACTGGCTGTCACCAGATCCTCACCAGGCGTGGGGTACAGCGGATTTTCTCAGTGCCTTGTTCACGCTCTCCCTTGGCCAGGAGTGGAGGGAGGCTACGGATGAGGCATGGTTTGCTTTGATACCTGTTAAAGGCTGAAGCCCTGGAGCGGGAGTGGCTGGCCGTGTGGGAGAGTGACAGGGTGGACGGCCCGCCCTCTCACAGGAGTCTCTGCAGCCAGGCTGCCCTGTGACTCTTCTGGACCCGTCCTGCCAGCATGACCTTGCACGCATGGTCCCCAGGACATCCCTGCCTTGGAGTGCCACTGCAGTGTGGGCAGTGCGTCCAGTCACAGGCTCAGCCCAGGAGCTCTGCAGACAGGTGGCCCTGTCCCTGGCAGCAAGACGCCATGTCAGACCCATCAGTTGGGGTTCTGTTTTGGGGAAGAGGCTGGCAGCGTTTCCTCAAAGCTCACCACCAGATCATGGTGGTTCCATCCCAGCATCCAGCTTTTCTGCTCCTTTCCTCTCATTTTGGAGCCAGCCCCAGGGCCCTGGTTCTTGCTCACAGGCTGAGTCCCAACACTTTTATAGGGTGCCTGCTGTGTAGCACTCCTGAGCTCTGGACTGAGGACATGCAGTGAACAGAGCTGCTGGACTCTTGCTGGGTGGGAGGGATGAGAAGCAAGACAGAGGAGCTCAGGGGGGCTGTGACAATGACCACAAACACGGTAGCTTAAAGCAGCAGGGATGTCCCTGCTCTGCAGCCCACGTCCTGAATTAGTCTCACTGAGCCAAAGTCCAGGCAGCCCCAGGTCACGATTCCCGCAGAGATTCCAGGGGGAGCCTTCCTTCGTCCTGCAGCTCCTGGGGTCCCGGGGGTTCCTGGCTTGTGGCTATGCTGCCTCATTATCTGTCCCTGTGTCCACGTGCCCTGCCGCGTTCTCAGTCCCTGCGTCCACGTGCCCTGCTGCGTTCTGTCCCTGCGTCCACGTGCCCTGCCGCGTTCTGTGTCCCTGCGTCCACGTGTCCTGCCACGTTCTCTGTCCCTGCGTCCACGTGCCCTGCCGCGTTCTGTGTCCCTGCGTCCATGTGCCCTGCCGCATTCTCAGTCCCTGTGTCCACGTGCCCTGCTGTGTTCTCTCTTCCTGCGTCCACGTGCCCTGCGTCCACGTGCCCTGCGTCCACGTGCCCTGCCGTGTTCTCAGTCCCTGCGTCCACGTGTCCTGCTGCGTTCTCTGTCCCTGTGTCCACGTGCCCCGCTGCGTTTTCTGTCCGTGTCCACGTGCCCTGCCGCGTTCTCTGTCCCTGTGTTCACGTGCCCTGCCGCGTTCTCTGTCCCTGTGTCCACGTGCCCTGCTGCGTTCTCTGTCCCTGTGTTCACGTGCCCTGCCGCGTTCTCTGTCCGTGTCCACGTGTCCTGCCGCATTCTCTGTCCCTGTGTCCACGTGCCCTGCCGCGTTCTCTGTTCACGCGGCCTCCCCACTTCTCTGTGTCCTTTTCTGAGCCTGCTCTTTTGGGATTTAGAGTCACCTTCCTTCAGCATGGCCTCATCTTGATCCTCACCATGACTACATCTGTATCGTGACAAAATAAGGTCACATCATGAGGCTCTGGTGCACAGGCATTGTGGGGGGCACTGCTGTTCCCACTGCCGCTGAGCTGTGGCCCAGGCACCTCTCCATTGCCAGCTGCCTGTGGTTAGTGGGGCTGGGGGTGACAGCTAGCCCTGCCATCTGCTTTGCACCTGGGCTGAGTGAGAGAGGGCGTGGGCCCCTTGAGTGTCCTGGAGTCAGTGGAGAGAGTGTCCCTCTGCAGAGCCTCACTGTGGGGCCCTGAGGGCCAGGCTTGGGAGCCATGTGCATTAGCTTTGGAATCCAGCCCTGTACCCCCTTGCTGGGTGACCTCAGAAGTCATGTCACCTCTGAGCCTCAGGGCCCCCGTCCTAAAAGTGGTGTTTCTGTGAGGACACAGTGAGCCCAGGGGTGACGCATGTCCCATGGCCAGGGCCACTGCAGGTTCCTTATGGTGATCTGACTTTCTTTCCCCAGTAGTTCTGCTGTTCACTGTGAGTGTCTGTTGTGCACGCCCCCTACACCCTGCATCCTCGCATCAAATGCATAGAAGGACCCGTGTCCAGGCTTGAGGCTATGGCCACTCAGCCGTGTGTGAGGCCTGTACAGGCAGGTCCGGGCTGGGTGCCGGGGCGTGGGGAGAAGTGAGACCCACTGCAGGAGCTCGGAGCTGGTGGGGGGTGCCACCGGGGCCGTCTCCTCTGTCAGCTACCAGTGACTTTGGACAGGCCTCTACCTGCTTCCCCTTGACTTGTCTCCTTGCTTTTCCCTCTGGCCCTGCGGGGGCAGGGGTTGAGGTGGAGAAGGCAGCACAGAAGGGACAATGGTAGGGAAAGGTTTTGATGGATGAGTAGAAGGTTGCCTGGTGAAGGCTGCCAGCTCAGCTGTGCTGTGGCCGAGATGTGGGCATTCCTGGTGGAGCGTGGTGTGAGGAGAGCAAGCATGGGATATGTACCCCAGCCCCTCGTCTGCCTACACCTCGGGCCTAGGTGACCTGGTGTAGTGTGAAATTGAAGTGGGGAGCTCCTGAGGCTGGCTCGGCCACACTAGAGCTGCTGGCACCAGGCATGTTACCCGTTGGGCTTCATTCATGTGCTTTTCCACTCACATGAATACTTCCCTTGACTGGGAGGGGCTGGGGCCATCACTGGGCCCAGCTCACCTGAAATGCTCAAAGCTGAGGCCACAGTAGCGCCGGGCCTCCTGGGAAGTCAGGCGTGTGGTGTCACGTGCTTCCTTGGGCCCGAGCATGGCCCCGGCCCCCGCAGCAGCAGACCTGGCTCCATGCAGGGAGGACCCCTTGCCGGGTGCTCTGGCTTTTCCCCTCCCCAGCCCACACTCGCCCTCCCGCCTCTGGGCAGCCTTGGGAAGCTCTGAAAGTGCCAGGGTTCATCACCTGCCCTGGCTTCCCCAGCTGGAGTCCTCAGGGCAGGTTGGGGCACTTTTCTTTTTTTTTTTTTTTTGGGACGGAGTTTCGCTCTTGTTACTCAGGCTGGAGTGCAATGGTGCGATCTCGGCTCACTGCAACCTCCACCTCCTGGGTTCAGGCAATTCTCCTGCCTCAGCCTCCTGAGTAGCTGGGATTACAGGCACGCGCCACCATGCCCAGCTCATTTTTTGTATTTTTTAGTAGAGACGGGGTTTCACCGTGTTGACCAGGATGGTCTCAATCTCTTGACCTCGTGATCCACCCGCCTTGGCCTCCCAAAGTGCTGGGATTACAGGCGTGAGCCACCGCCCCCAGCCGGGGCACTTTTCAAAGGGACCACATGGGTGGGCTGGGGGCCGCAGGGTTCCCGGTGCCCCTGGACCTCCTGCCGTGGTTCTGGTCTGGTGTCATCATCGGAGGCGGCCCAGTGCAGCCCAAGGACCTGGGCTTTGGCGTGGGTGACTGCTGGGTGATTCCCTTCTCAGCTTCGAGCCTCTCTCAGCCTCACTGTCACAGTCACAGTCCTCCGGCTTCCAGCCCAGCCCCCGGCACTAGGTGATGCGTGTGGTGTGTCTTTTGCGCATGGCTCTGACGGTTCTCTGAGGGTGGAAAAAACACGGATCCGGAGCAGGGCAGGTGCAGGTGGCTGCCAGGACCCTGTGTCTTGTCTGCTCACTTTCCAGGCTGCCAGAGGTCTCTTAAATGTCCCTCTGTTTCTTCTCCCCTCTCCTCTGCTGGGGCTTCTGAAGCTTTTGTTCAATTTTTTTTTTTAAAAAAGGGGAAAACCCCTTTTCTTGATTGCGTCCAGAGATGATAGCTTTTCATCAACTTTTCTATTAAAATGATCAGTGCAATAACTCATTTAGGTGGAAACCAGGGGCAGGTTCCCATTTAAAGTGGCTTCGGGTTAACACACACCCCCGGCGTCAGGCAGGAAGCACTCCCGTTGCAATGACGGTGATGCCTCCATGCAGACCTCTCAGGTCTGTGGACATGGGACCCACCCATGGGGACATACCCGTGCAGGCCCACGTGTAGGCCCTGTGGGACTGGCCATGGGTGCTTTGCTTGACTATGGCTGGGCTGCCAGCTCAGCTGTGCTGTGGTTGATGTGGGCGTTCCTGGTGGGGTGTGGTGTGAGGAGAGCAAGGCTGGGATTCAAGCAGATTCTGGTCCTTTCTCAGTCATTGAATCGCAGCCTCCCATGCCAGAAGCCCTCCTGCAGGCCTGTGGGGGAGAATTCTCAGGGGGTCCAGCCACTGGACCCATGTGCAACGCTGGGAGGGTCTCAGGGCCTCTGGTGCCCCTGGCCACGTGTGAGGATGGCCTCATGAGTATTTATTGGGAGTGGGAAATGTGTCAACATGCCTGTCCCTGTGCCTGAGCCAGCTCCTAAGGGACATGATCCCGGGCAGAAATATGTCCCCAGCCACTGTTCTGATCAGCCCACAACTCCAGAGTGGGGAAGAAAGTGGCATCGCTTGGGCTAGAACCACAGGTGTGGGGAGTGGGGCCTGTCCAGGGACCCATGTGGCAGAAACCCTGTCCCTGCATCAAGACCCCACAGTCAGGATGCTTCTTCCCAAGTGCAGCCCTCCACAGAAGCCAAGCTGCAGGCCCAGCTGCCTGCCCTGAGCCCCAGGCCAGTGCCCAGCGGCAAAGCAGCGCTCATGATGGAAGGAGAAATGGTAACCTGCTCCCGAGAGCCGGCACTGGGCTTCCCGCACCAGGGAGGCCTCCAGACGCTCACCAACACACAGCCCTGCCAGACAGCACATCACCAGGGCACCCGTCGTCCCCCAGCCCTGCAGGCCAGACTGTCAGCTTCCAGCAAGTTCATGGAGGCCTCAATCTCCCTGCCTCAAGAGTGAGGCTGATCACACCCATCTTTACAAATGGGCAAAAAAGGTCGTTAGGCTTGTCGGCAAAGCACCTGGGAGCAGCTGCCTCCACGAGTGGTGGCTGTTGTCATCCTTGTCACCAACGTCATCACCTGGCGGGGTTCTTTTTGGGACTGCCCTGTCGGTGGGATGACAGGGTTTTAAAGATGAAGTTTCAGGCTGGTAAACCTAAGACCCCGAGGCTCCAGAGGTCAGAAACCCTGGGTTCCAGTTTGTAGAGACGTGGGCCCAGTGCTGGGTGAGGGAGGAGGGTGCCACAGCTGAAGAGACCAGCACAAGGTACCGAAGTGAGAATCCAAGTGGCGGGAGAGCGATGCTGGGGCCAGGAGGAGGTAGTGGGCAGGACACAAGGGCCGGCCTCCCGAGTGTCCTCTGGGGACCCAGCTGGTCCTCCCAGGCCTGGCAGCCACATGGCTGCCCACATCCCCGGTGAAGAGGGGGATGTCTCCCCTGCTGATGGAATCCAGGCACTATGTAGAAGCAACAAGGGTGACCCTTGGGGGTTCCCCACCTGGCACAGCACCAGGGCACGCCCCTAGCTGGCACAGGCCTCAGTGCTCAGGGCCTGTGCAGAAGTCTGAGGCCTCCTGGGGCCTTCCTTCCTGGGGGGATGCCAGGGGCTTCTCTTTTCCTCCAGTATCAGCCCTTTTCAGGGGTGTGATGGGGGCTTGAGAGCTCCACCCTGCATCCCAGCCAGGACCTGACCTAGAACCACAGCGGGGGCCCCTCTCCCGGCATGCCCGCAGTCCTCTTGACGGCCCGGTAGCGTTTCGGGAGGGGGAAAGCAGCCTCCTGGCCGTCGAATATTTCCATGCACAGGGAGCTGTCGGGAGGGGCCTGTTGGTTGCATACCTGCAGCCTACTGGGAAGAATGGACGGGCCCACTGCAGCCTCGAGCTGCTTGTTAAACCTGTGTGTGTGTGGGTGTGTACCGTCCAGGCTCCTGATCTACGGGGAGTACTGCAGCCACATGGAGCATGCCCAGAACACGCTGAACCAGCTCTTGGCCAACCGGGAGGACTTTAGGCAGAAAGTCGAGGTGAGTGCTACCAGGCCCTGGCCCTGGCCCCAGCCCCGAGGTGGCAGCTTGCAGACAGGACCTCGTTATGTGCCAGCCTCTCTCTTGCCCATTTGTTGGGAAGGTGGTGATGGGGGTGGTGACAGGTTGGTGACGTGCTGGTCTTTTCTCCTTTGCATCGTGTTGGGTTGGGAAGTGGGCCGGGTGGAGGTCACCATCCCAAGTCAGGACACAGCCAGACTCCCCAAGGAGAAAGGGCTTTGGAACTGAATCTCACTCAGCTGGGGCTCTGGCTGACCCCTGACCCTGGCCTCTGCTGGCCCCAGGGAGCCTCAGATAACATTTTCTGGTAACTGTGAGGCCCCCTCACCCCACATCCATCCTCACCCCAAGCCCCATCAGCATCTAGTGTTTCTCACGTGAGCCCCTCCCAGCCCCTCCTGTCCCAACTGAGTTTCCAGGCTCCCTCTGGTCAGTACACCCTGTTTTCTGCATGAAGCCTGGCGTGGAGTCCCCTAACTCTGGCAGTGGTGGAAGCAGTGTGGCCCCCATGGAAAGGCAGGATGCCCCCCAATTCCAGGCAATGAATGGGGGAACTCCCTGGTTCCTGGGAGCGGTCCCACAGCTCATTGCAAGTTGACACCCCACCTTGCTTCTCCCAGAGGCCAGGCCAGAGGGGGACTGGTCTGTGGGGGGTGCCCTGCTGCCTTCTCCAAAAGACCTGGCCTGGCGGAACAGTCAAAGCTACGCCCAGGCAGGCCTGGCAGGTGCCCCGAGAGGGTCCCTGCAGCATCGTATGTGTCTCACTGCGTCCTGGTGTGGCCAGTGCAGACATGGTGAAGGGGGAGAGGTGGCGTGTCCCCACCCCTGTGTTGTGAAGCCCACCCCTCTGCACACACCTGGTGCATGGACTGGCTCTGGGAACCCAGCCAGAGAAGGACCAAACGTCTGGGCCCGAGCTCTGGGCTTAGGTCTCCCCTCTGCAGACGAGGGGACAGGTGGTTCAGGCTTTCCCCAGGCTGGGGGGTCTCCCATCGCCTTATCGCCCTAGCAGGAGTGCACACTGAAGGTCCAGGATGGAAAATTTAAGCTACAAGACCTGCTGGTGGTCCCCATGCAGAGGGTGCTCAAATACCACCTGCTCTTGAAGGTGAGGCTCTGGGTCCCATGTGCCCGTGGGGGTCATCACTGCTGGAGTCAGGTGAGGGCCGGCAGCTTCCAGGGGGTGTGGGACACAGCCCGCAGACAGATGAAGTTGAATGTCAGCAAAGAGGTTTGTGCTTGGCTCATAACCACTGCTCAGTGCACGTGATGGACAATTATCACAGTAAATACACATAGGAAAACCATGACTCAAATCACTGATGAGGTCAGAAAACTGAAAGAGACAGAAAAGCGCCCCACACCAGGAATAAGAAGGGCCTGTGGTTGATCTCTGAGCTTCCTGTTGGCCATGGGAGAAATGGAAATGGAAGCCCTTCAGGAAGGACAGACCTGGGAGGGAAGGCAGTGGTTTCTGCGAGGCACCTCGAAAGACCCTTTTCCCGTGAACTGCGGGCACAGCTGTTTTGCTGTGCATTTTGCTGTCTTTGTGTCCCTTCTCACTGTCCTTGTGTTTTGCTGCCTTCGTGTCCCTTCTCACTGTCACCCCCTTCCTTTGTCCACAAGGTTTGGGAGTGCCCCTGCCAAGAAGTGGGGTGTCCTCTGTGCGAAGGGTCACTATCAATCCAAGCCTGGGCCAGCAGGTGGGGGTGGTGTTCTTCTGAGGACTTTGTTCTCTGTGCACCCCCTGCACTAGGTAGGGGCCAGGGCAGAGGCCAGGACCCCTGAGTGGTAACATGTGATACCCTTCTCACCCTTCCAGGAACTTCTAAGCCATTCTGCAGAACGGCCTGAGAAGCAGCAGCTCAAAGAAGCATTGGAAGCCATGCAGGTGGGTAGGTAAACTGAGGCAGGGGAGAAGCCATCGTGCGACTTAGCATACCCTGCTTCGCTCTTGGACTGCAATTGGGCTCATTAAGCTGAGATTGTGACCATAGACGTCTTCCCGGGACAGCAGGAGTTGGGGAGGGTCAGGGAAGGGTAGTGGGTGAGACCCACGGCGGGTAGAAGTAATAGGTGGAGAGTGCTGCTCCCTCAGGTGTCCCGAGTCCTAACCTCCCTGTCCAACGAGACCTCCCTTCAGCCTCTGCTCCTCCTGCTTTCGCCCCCCAGGCACTGGGCTTCTCACTTCCAGCCGTGAGGTTTCTGCTTCTAAAATGCCAGCCCCAGTGCCATCTCTCTGCTACCTGCCCGGGCAGCTCCTTCGCTCCTGGCTGTTTTGAGGCCGCCCTGCCCCATCCAGCCATGCCTCCCTCTCTCCCCTTGTCTGGGTGAGTTTAGCTCATGTCACTCCCTTGCTCAGGCACCATCCGTGGCTCCCACTGCCCAGGAAGCAGGCTCTCCAGGCCTTCTGCAGGGCACTTGCCCCCGATGTTGCCTCTGTGTTTACCACAGTTCCAGGCACATGCGATCGCTCCCAGGCTCTGCACATTCCCTGCACTTCCCCACCTCCGGGTACTGGCTCAGGCTGTACCTTCTTCCTCATCCTGCCTTTCCTGCCTTTGCAATGGACAGGACATTCTCCAGGGAGGATCGCCCCCCCACTGGGTTCCGTCCCCAAGGAACTGGCTTCCCCGTGGGTGGCACTCTCACTCCTGGACACACTTGGTCATGCCAGCCCCTTCCCAGCCAGACCTGTGTCAGCCATGGTCAACTGTATCCCAGGCCAGGCCTGGCAACCAGCATGTGGTAGTCCCTTCCAGCTGCAACTGGGTGGACGGACCATGACTACCCCAACATTTCCCTCATCGGGAGCACGGGGCACCTCTGCCAACCCCCTCAGGGCTGCAGTCCTGCCCTCTGACACCTGGCCCCTGCCCTCTGGGCAGACCCCCAGGCTTTGGGCCACCTTTTTCTTTCCCGGGTGCCTCATTTAAGGAGCTCCCTCTGGGTGGGGGAGGGGCAGTCATCTGTCTCCATCTATAGCTGCTGTTGGGCTGTGGCGGGAGTGGGACCAGGGCTTGGCCGCTCGTGCTGAGAGGTTCTCTGAGCAGACCATGTGCTCTGGGAGAAATTTACTCCAAATCCTGTGGGCACTCGTGTGTGGGCACGGAAGCCAGTCCCAGAGACCTTCAGCTCCGCTGGGCAGCGAGCCCCCGAGGAGTGCTCTGGGAAAGCGATGCCTCCTGCCGTGACAGGCTGACATAACTCTTCGGGTCCTCTCTGCGGCCCTCAAGCCGCCCTTCTAACACCTGCTCTGGCCTGCCTGCCGTGAGCCACGGTGTGTGAGCCAGCTCGGACGGCCTCGGGGGCTCTGAGACAGCGACAGCAGGTGCAGTGGGCTGTGCACCCGGCCCCTCAGTGTGGTCTTGCATTTCACACTCTCAGCACATGGTTTCTGGCTGCCGGGTGGCTCTGAGTCCTTTGATGGGACAGTTTCCCAGGAGTGTCGCTCACAGTGCTGCCAAATAACTGTGACATGCATCTGCCTTTCTGAGAACCTCCATGACATGCGTCTGCCTTTCTGAGAACCTCCGTGACATGCGTCTGCCTTTCTGAGAACCTCCGTGACATGCGTCTCTCTTTCTGGGAATCTCCGTGACATGCATGTGTCTTTCTGAGAACCTCTGTGACATGCGTCTGCCTTTCTGAGAACCTCCGTGACATGCGTCTGCCTTTCTGAGAACCTCCGTGACATGCGTCTGCCTTTCTGAGAACCTCCGTGACATGCGTCTGTCTTTCTGAGAACCGCTGAGCCTCATCATGAGACTTCAGGGCTGGAGGGATTTCAGAAGTCTTTTGATCGATTCCCAGTTTATATAGGAAGTCATTCATGCAGCCACCATGGGAGTCGTCACTGTACCTGGGCTTGATTCCCTGTAGGGACTGAAAGCTGACTCCTTATAAGGCAGTGTCTTTGAGAGTCGGCCACCCTGCCTCTGTGGGCCTGAGGTTTGTCTATAGGAATTGCAGTTTTAGGTCCGAGCTCCATGAACTGACTGCAGTCCTGCCTCTGTATCAAAGTACAGATATTTCCCTCACCTGCTCATTCATTCTGGCAACTTCCATCTGCTCCTCTTTCGTGCCAGGCATCGGGCCAGGTGCACACAGGGGCCACGGTGGTCAGAGCTGTAATGTTTCTGCCGTTGGGCCCTGAGCTTTGTCCCTGCCATTGGAGTCCTTGTCTCTGGGAATTTATTTCTTATTTTAAAGGCAAGTGGACAGGAAAACAAAACACACCTTTCAGACAGCATGCTGCAGCTTCCCCAGGAAGGGTCGTCCTGCGTGGTGGGTGGGGAGCCGACATGAGGGCCTCTAGGAACCAGGAAGGGCCAGAGGGATGGGAACCTGCTGACCACCTGACCTGGCTCAGGCTCTGGCTGCTAATTTGCATTTCGGGGAATGCTGCCCGCTGCTCTGGGTGGGCAGGGCTGGGACCGCCTGCCTGGCTGGCTCCCTTGGGGTCTGCTGTGGGCCAGGTCCAGAGGCTGAGTTTTCTGGACTGAAGTGGGCACTGCTCCCTGGTGACCATCACAAGGATTGCAGCATGGCAGAGAGCATGGAGTGGGGATGGCCAGACCCATGGAGAGAGGGACTTTCTGACCCCTCATTCTGTCCAGGCTCCAATGAGAGGCTGTGGCTTGGAGAGGCCGGGGAGCAGGGAGCTTCCCAAGAACGGGGAGATAGGTCAGCCCAAGCCAGGTGGCTTTTCCATGGTCTGTGGCTCCAACACACAGGGCTGTTTCCCTCTACAAGGATGTTTAAGAGGGACCACGTGATGGAGTAGAAAGAAGCGGCACCAGCCAGGAGTCTCGGTTTCTTGTCATCGTCACCGATGAGGTGTGGCTCTTGGTGTGGTCCCTTCCCTGACTCACTTTCCTCATCTGTCATGCAGAGGTGATGCGTCTTAGCCCTCTTGCTTGAGGGCAGCCTCCCCGGCAGGATGAAGGAAGGAGGTCTGGAAATGCCGAGTGCCTGGATGCTGGGTGGAGGGGGTCCTTGGGGGCTGAGCTCCTGTGTACACGTGCATGTACACAAATGCTCACACACCCTGCACAGCACAGCTTGCTCACACACAGTCACATTCACACACACCCAGCACAACCCACTTACACATGCTCACACACACACCCTACCCAGTACAGGCCACTTACATACACATGCTCATACATACAATCACACCCTCCCAGCACAACCCGATCTCACACACACAATCACAATCACACACCCTGCCCAGTACAGCCCACTTACATGCCACCCGGCACAGCCTGCTCACACACACAATCACACATACACAATCACACATACACAATCACACACCACGCCCAGTACAGCCCACTCACACACACATACACAATCACAATCACACACACCTCAGCACCTGCTCCTACACAGTCACACACCCTACCCAGTACAGCCTGCTCACACACACAATCACACACACCCCACCCAGCACAACCCGCTCACATGCACGATTATGCACCACACCCAGTACAGCCTACTCACACATACATGCTCACGCACACAATCACAATCACACACACCCCACCCAGCACAACCCGCTCACATGCACAATCATGCACCCCCTTAGTACAGCCTGCTCATACATACATGCTCACACACAGAATCACACAATCACACACACCCCACCCAGCACAACCTGCTCACACACATACATAATCACACACCCCACCCAGTACTGCCTGCTTACACACACATGCTCACTCACATACATACATACCACAGCACAGCCTGCTCACACACACATACATGTACATGCACCCCACCCAGCACACCTCACTCACACATGCCCACACACATTCACTCACACAATCACACATACCCCACCCAGCACAGCTCACACACAGACACACAATCACATCCCCACCCAGTACAGCTTGCTCACACACACACACAAACACCACCCAGCACAGCTCACACATCATCCAGCAGAACTCACACACACAATTACTGACACCCCCCACCCAGCACAGCTCACACACACAGTCTCACACACAATCACTCATACACACACAATCTCACACCCAGCACAGCCCACTCACACACAATCACTCACACACACATCATTCACACCCCCAACCAGCATAGCTCACACACAAATCACTCATACAATCACACACACACATCATTCACACCCCCAACCAGCATAGCTCACACACAAATCACTCATACAATCACACACACACTTCCACCCAGCACAGCCCCCCCACACACCCAGCACAGCTCACTCACGAAATCACTCATACACACAATCACACACACACCCTCACCCAGCACAGCTGACTCACAATCACTCAAACACACCCCTACCCACCACAGATTACTCACACACACGTGATCATACACACACATAATCACACTCCCCCACCCCGCACAGCTCACTCATACACACACACACCCAGCACAGCTCACACAATCACACACCCAGCACAGCTCACACACACACACACTTACACCCCCACCTAGCACAACTCACACACTCATACACCCCCACCCAGCACAGCTCACACCCAGTCACACACAATCACACCCAGCACAGCTCACACACAGTCACACACACACCCCACCCAGCACAGCTCACACACACACACACACAGCACAGCTCACACACACACTCTTACACCCCCACCTAGCATAGCTCATTCACACACACACTCACATACACCCCCACCCAGCACAGCTCACACACACACAGTCACACACACACACACCCAGCACAGCTCACACACACACTTACACCCCCACCTAGCACAGCTCACTCACACACACAGTCACTCACATACATCCCCACGCAGCACAGCTCACACACACAGTCACACACACACACACACTCCACCTAGCACAGCCCACTCACTCCCTCTCTCTTCTTTTCCAGGACTTGGCCATGTACATCAATGAAGTTAAACGGGACAAGGAGACTTTGAGGAAAATCAGCGAATTTCAGAGCTCCATAGAAAACCTGGTAAGTGGGACTGACTAAGGAGATTATGTGTGTGGAGACGTTCAGGCTAAGGAAGGTCCTTGAGGACAACTCCCGTGAAGTCATGCTCACAGCCCAACACTGAGCGAGCTCCATGGGCAGCCCCACCATAGCTGCCTGTGCAGGGTGTAGTGCCGGCAGCTTCTGAGTTGGATCTTGGACTCCCGGCATCCACGCTCCCTTGCCCACCACAGACAACCCAAATGCCCTGTGCACCGAAGATGGCCTCTGCTCAGGGAGCATCGAGGGGGTGGGGAGGGACCGTATTAATTGCCCCGTCCCCCTTTTCTCCCCGCACCAGCCTAGACAAAAGACTCTAAGTCCCAGAGGAGAGCTGTGGCTCCCAGGGGCAGGAGACGCCCCCACTCCTTGGACCCCTGGCCCACCCTCACCTTGTCTGTCCCCTCCAGGGGCAATGGACAGGGTTTGGTCCCAGGCTCGGTGGGGCCGGCTCACCTCTGCTCCTCAGACCCCATCAGGCAGGGCTGCCATCTCCCAGGACTCTCCCCAGAGCCAGGCCCTGCAGAGGCCAGGCTTGCGCTGCTGAGTCAGTCACCTCGTCCTGCCTGGGGAGTGGGGAGACGCCACCCCAGGAAGCAACTTCCCCGGTCTGTGCCAACCGGAGCCAACTTCCCAGGATCTGCTGGTTCTAAGCTGGGCTTCCCAGGATCTGCTGGTTCTAAGCCGGGCTTCCCAGGATCTGCTGGTTCTAAGCCGGGCTTCCAAGGATCTGCTGGTTCTAACGCGGGCTTCCCAAGGATCTGCTGGTTCTAACGCGGGCTTCCCAAGGATCTGCTGGTTCTAACTCGGGTTTCCCAAGGATCTGCTGGTTCTAACACGGGCTTCCCAGGATCTGCTGGTTCTAACCCGGGCTTCCCAGGATCTGCTGGTTCTAACCCGGGCTTCCCAAGGATCTGCTGGTTCTAACGCGGGCTTCCCAAGGATCTGCTTGTTCTAATGTGGGCTTCTCCACCACAGCACTGTCGACGTTTGGGGTGGGATCATTCGTGGCTGTGGGACCTGCCCTGTCTGTCACAGGATGTGGAGCAGTGTCCCTGGCTGCCACCCACCAGATGCTAATAACACCTCCATCCCCGTAAGTGATACCAACTGAATATGCCTCTGGACATTGCCAGAGGATCCCTTGGGTGGCAGAATTACCCCTATGAATCGCAAACTTTTTTATTTTTGAGACAGAGTCTCACTCTGTCACCCAGGCTGGAGTGTAGTGGCATGATCTCAGCCCACTGCAACCTCCACCTCCCCAGTTAAAGAGATTCTCCTGCCTCAGCCTCCCAAGTAGCTGGAATTACAGGCGTCCGCCACCACGCTCTGCTAATTTTTGTGTTTTTAGTAGAGACAGGGTTTCACTGTGTTGGTTAGACTGGTCTCGAACTCCTGACCTCGTGATTGCCCATCTCAGCCTTCCAAAGTGCTGGGACCACAGGCATGAGCCACGTGAATCACAAACATTTTCACCCTGGTGATTTCACTCGCATGAGGCTGTGGCAGAGAAAGGCCTCCAGTGCCCAGCCCACACCCACCCAGTGTCAGCAGTACAAAGAGAGCACCCTCCACAAACAGGGTACGAGAAAGCACCCATGATATGTTGGCAATGAAAGAAAAAAAAGCTACCAAATGGCATTATGATACTGCCCCCTTCATCTTTCAATTTACAAAGAAATAAGAACATCTGAATGCAGAGGAAGACGAGAACAGCTGTGCCCTGACCGTCAGCACCTGGCAGGTCCGTGCTGCCTCGAGCTCCTGCTCAAGGCATTCGCAAATGCTGTATAGTGAGCAGGGTGTGAGGAGAAAAGTTCATTTTATTTTGTTTTTTAAGTTTTTACTTGGGAGTAATACTTGTTCATTAAACAACAAGAACAGACTGGGTGCGGTGGCTCATGCCTGTAATCCCAGCACTCTGGGAGGCTGAGGCAGAAGGATTCCTGGAGGTCAGGAGTTTGAGACCAGCCTGGCCAGCCTGGTGAAACCCCATCTCAACTAAAAATGCAAAAATTAGCTGGGCGTGGCGGCAGGCACCTGTCATCCCAGCTACTTGGGAGGCTGAGACAGGAGAATCACTTGAACCCGGGAGGCGGAGGTTGCAGTGAGCTGAGATTGCGCCAGTGCTCTCCAGCCTGGGTAACTGGGTAACCGAGTGAGACTCTGTCTCAAAAACAACATCAAGAATAAAACAGCATGGCCAGCAGGCGTCAAGCATCCCCATGAACCAGGCCCTGCACCCAGTCCTGGCTCCGAATCCCATGACCACAGGGAAGGTGGTGCCTTCATGTTCTGCGCCCGAGAGCTGGGGTCTGAGGCCTGGAGAAGCTGACTGAGGCTACGTGGCACCAAAGCTGCCCTTGCAGTCTCTGGGGCTGAGGTGTTGGAAGGAGACGCTGAGCCGGTGCCTGGAGCACTGCCAGGCAGGACTCTGTTCGTGTCTCAAAGCGTTTTCCTCCACCTTTTCCTGTCTGTATGGACACTTGGAAAGCCGCACAGGGAATATGTCAAGAGATGCTGTCTCTGAATCAGAAGAGTCACAGAGACACAAACCAAACAGACAATGGAAGCGAAACCTCAGGAAGCCACACGGGGTCTGAGTGGAAGCTCAGCCTTGGCAGGATCCCAGCCTGCCCACCCTGTGGCAGATAGGCACTGTTTGTTCTCTCCTGGACATGGGTTCTCGGGCTTGGGCATCTGGCTTTTCCTACCAGGTCCCACTTGGGGCTCCACGCAGCGGCGGCCTGTGAGCCGGCCATCAATTGCCCTTTGTCCCCAGAGCTGAAGGCAGCCCCTTGGCAGGACTGGCCAGGGAAGGGACAGAAGCTGCCAGTCCCTGTGCCTTCCTGGTCTTCTGCGCCCTCCCTTGTCCGCTTGAGGACCAATTGGGAGCCCCAGGGGCTGTTTCCTTTTGTCCTGCCCCTGCTGCCTGTGGGGAGCCCCCTCGGTGTGCTGCCCCAGCCGCGGCTGACAGCCCCTCTCCTTCTTTCCAGCAAGTAAAACTGGAGGAGTTTGGAAGACCAAAGATCGATGGGGAACTGAAGGTTCGGTCCATAGTCAACCACACCAAGCAGGACAGGTGAGCAGGGTGGGCTGGGTGCCGCCCCTCCGGGGTCAGGCTCTCCCTGTCTGGGAGCCGCTCCTAAGTGGCTCTGGAAGCAGGGCCTTCCTGTGGAAAGAGCTGCCTGGCAGTGGCTTTGTGGTGTTCAGTTTTAATTACTTCCTTCCTTCTCGTCAGCGAGTGGGTGCCACAACCATGGGGCTTTTGTGCCCGTGGCAGGCACCAGACTGGGGTGGAAGAGCCAAAGGCCTGGAGGGCCAGTCCCTGCACTGCCAAGACTCAGCCTCCAGGGACCCGAGACAGGCCCAGAGTGGCCAAATGAGCTCTTTGCCAAATGACTGCCGGAGAGTGCCCAGGCCCACGGCGGCCGAGGCTTGTCCAGGGCCCTCTGTGTGCTCCTACTGTGTGCTGCGGTAGGGCTCTCCGTGTGCACCTACTGCGTGCTTGTCCAGGGCCCTCCGTGTGCACCTACCACGCGCTGGGGCAGGCCCTTCGTGTGCACCTATCGTGCACTGGGGCAGGCCCTCCGTGTGCACCTACTGCGTGCTGGGACAGGGCCCTCCGTGTGCACCTACTGCGTGCTTGTCCAGGGCCCTTCGTGTGCACCTACTGCGTGCTGGGGTAGGGCCCTCTGTGCACCTATTGCGTGCTTGTCCAGGGTCCTCCGTGTGTACCTACTGTGTGCTTGGGCAGGGCCCTCTGTGTGCACCTACTGTGTGCTGGGGCAGGGCCCTCCATGTGCACCTACTGTGTGCTTGTCCAGGGCCCTTCGTGTGCACCTACTGCATGCTTGTCCAGGGCTCCCTCCGTGTGCACCTACTGCGTGCTTGTCCAGGGACCTCCATGTTCACCTACTGTATGCTACAGCTGGGGCCACAGCAGATCCAGGTCCCTCCCCCTTGAGGCTCCCAGTCCAGCGCAGGATCAACTGGGAGTGGCCGTCAAGGGTTAGTGGTGTGTGGGAGGCCGGCTTGGGGGGTGCAGGAGCCCCCTGAAAGGCTCCCAGCACAGTCTCAGTCATGGAGGTAGGGAGCCGAGGAAGGCTTTCTGGAGAAGCAGCATGGGACTAGCCAAGACCTGGCCAAGGCCCTCGTTAGCCCGTTAGCCCGGTGAGCCAGGGGAGGGCAGGGCTTGCTGGGAGAGGGAGTCAAGTGCCAGAGCCTCAGGCTGAGCCCCTGCTGCCAGCCTCGGAGCAGAGCTCACAGTGCTGGGTGCTGACGCCCCACTGCGCTGCCTGGCCCAGGTACTTGTTCCTGTTTGACAAGGTGGTCATTGTCTGCAAGCGGAAGGGCTACAGCTACGAGCTCAAGGAGATCATCGAGCTGCTCTTCCACAAGATGACTGATGACCCCATGAACAACAAGGACGTCAAGAAGGTGGGGCCTCCGGGTCCGCCCCCCCAATTCCCCCGGGAGGGGAGCGTGGGGGTGGCCTGGAGAGAGGCACTGGGTTCCGGACCCCAGGTGAAGGGGACACGAAGTCAGCTGCTGATGCTGGCCGGGTGGGCACGGGTGGGCGTGGGTGGGGGGGCCCACCCTGCAGGAAGCCTCCCCTCTGAGTCACTGCCTGGCCGCCATGACCAGTGCTCATGGCAGGCCTGCTCCGAGCCGGGCCCAGTGCCCACCAGAATCCCGCTCCCCAGTGAGGTGACTGAAGCAGAGGGGAGGCCTGCCCAAGGCCTGTAGCGAGGGTGGGGCTTTCAACCTTGGCTTTCCATCTGGCCAGCCTGACTCCAGCCCATGTTGTCCTTTGTAGCAAGCAGGCTTTCCTCTCTCGTCCCACCCTGCGGTGCTTGGAGAAGGACTGTGGGTGGGTCTGGCTGTGGCTTGTCCAAGACACTGCGGGCAGTTGGCTGGGGCCTGTGGCTGCTGGGGCGGGGCCAGGGCTGCAGGGGTGGAGCTGTGGGACTGGGGCTGCAGGGCTGGGGCCTGGGGCTGCTAGGGGGCGGGGCCAGGGCTACAGGGCTGTTGCTGCCTGGCTCTCTGGTTCAGTCCTGCTTCAGCTGAGGCTTCTGCGTATGTCACTTGAGCACCTACCATGTGCAAGGGGAGGAGGGCAGAAACCCATGTTCTGAAAGTCCAGGCCCTGGTCTTCAGGGTTGCTAGTGTGGCGCTGGTACAGACCCAGCGAGTGCAAGCTGGATGAGCTGTTGAGGTGACCTGGTCCCACCCTGATACCCTAAACAAGTAACTGGGGCCCACGAGGCAGTCCCAGCCTCCAGCAACCGAGTCTCTGGAAACAACGTCCTTTCCCCACTGATCTCCCGCCCCCAGCCTAGGCAGTGGGTGGGGGTGTCCTACCTGCCAGGGCTCCTGGCACCCTATTGCGGCACCCCCCACAGGGTCTGGCTGAGCCTCTCACTGACCATCTCCCCCTTCCTCTCCTCATGCTTCCTAGTCTCACGGGAAAATGGTAAGCACCTAGCACCCAGGTTCTCCCACCTGCCTCACTCATCCCAGCCTGGCACTGCCCAGAGCCAGGGCACCCAGGGGCCTGAAGGGCCAGGCGTATGGTCTTCTCCATCCTCCTTTCACTCTCCTAATGGTGAAATGATTTGTATTCATGGTGAAAGACTTGCCCACTAAGGCAGTGAGAAAGGAAAGCCCCATCCACCCTCCGTCCCTGGAGGTCGGGGGTCTTGGTCTCGCTTCAGCTCTTCAGTATCCTTTTTGTTCTTCTGTGTTCTCTCCCTCTTCCCTCCCTCTTCCTCTCCTTTTCTTCTCTCCTGATTTCCTCCCTCCTCACATCCCCAATCTACTCTTCCTCCCTCCCTCCCTCCCTCCCTTCCTCTTTCCCACCATCTTTTGTAACCAGTGGGTTCCTATTTGCCAAACTCTTCCTCCTGGACCACTTTGAAAGCCCTTTGCCCCAGAGCTTGGAAAGATGGCGAGGCTTGTGGGGGTGGCCGAAGGGGAGTCAGGGAAGGGAGTCAGGGAAGGGAGCCGCTGTGGGCCGCTCAGTGGGGGATGGCTTTGCGGAGGAGGCCTGGGCCCGTGGCTGTTCCCTGTGGAGGGTGCCTGGGCCCCCGGCTGTTCCCTGTGGAGGGTGCCCGGGCCCCCGGCTGTTCCCTGTGGAGGGTGCCCGGGCCCCCGGCTGTTCCCTGTGGAGGGTGCCCAGGCCCCTGGCTGTTCCTGCCTTTTTGTTGTTGTTACTATACTTCAGAGAAGTGAGTTTTTTTAGCATCACATTTAGGAAGTAAAAGGGGGTGGTTAGGCCTGGCAGAGGGGTCCTGGTGAAGCCCTGTGCTCCTTTATACGCATCTACATGTGCACACAGTGGAGCATCTGTGCACACGGGCACAGGCAGGAGGGCATGTCTCCCCATGCATAGGTGTGTGCACCCATGGGAGAGCACACAGCACAGGTGCATGTGCATCATACACGTTAGAATGCATGTGGACCTGCAGGGACAGAGACAAGTGTGTGCGTGCACATGTACATGCCCACAGGAGCACAGGGCACACTCAGGCACAGGTGCACTTGCAGAGATGCACGAAGGCACGATGCACGTCCATGCACACACAGGAACACACTACTGTGCGTGCACAGAGGAAGGTACAGCACATTTGTATTCTCACGTGAGGATGTGGGCACACAGCTAGGCATGCATGCATTCAGAGGCATATGCGTCCACATACAGCGTGGGCAAGAATGCATGTACACACATGAGAACATGTTCGCACAGGCATAGGCAACCAAGCATGTAGGTGTATACACCCGTACAGCACAGACGAGAGTACCCGTGTACGTGTGCCTGGATGTCTGAAGCCATGTCCCTTGCAAGCATGTCTCCTCTCCCCTCTGCAGTGGTCTTACGGCTTCTACCTAATTCACCTGCAAGGAAAGCAGGGCTTCCAGTTTTTCTGCAAAACAGAAGACATGAAGAGGAAGTGGATGGAGCAGTTTGAGATGGCCATGTGAGTCCGGGGGCAGCCCCAGGTCCCGCTCATATGAGTGGTATCAGGGGTGGGAGCCCAGGTGGACTCTCAGATCGGGGGCGGTGGAAGGCAAAATTGGAATGTCAGGGGCACAGACAACCTCCATCACCCTGGGTTGCCAGCCTACCTTGGTGACATCCCTTTTAACAACTGATCCAGCATGAGAGGCTCTCCCTCTGCCACAGCCTGTCCCAGGCGGGTCCACTGTCCTGCTGGAATGAACCATGCCACCCTTGAGGCTGAGCCTTGAGCACTTGGCCCGCAGAGCAGTGACCCACTGGGAGTGGCCATGATGCCAGAGGATTCCTGGTGCCCCAGTCTTCAGGGTCTTACGGGCTGGTGGCTTGACACCTGTTTTTGAAGTCTGATAAGTATATTTTCATGAATTCCAGAGGTACCCCTAGATATGTGAACAGAAAGACAATGAGTGGGTTCCCGGTACACTGACGCTGGGGGTGGGCAGGTCGTCTGAGCTCTGCGGGCAGGTGAGCTGGAGCCTTCAGGCAGGTTTGCTCCCTCCCTGACCGTTTCCTCTGGTGACCTGGAGAGGGGAAGGCCTGTGTTCTGGCCTTTTAGGGAGGATCAGATGGGAACCATTGGACACAGCAGGACAGGGCCTGGCTGATGGGAACAGACACAGCTAGCTGCTTTGCGTCCAGGCTCGGTGTGTGTGTGTGTCAGGGGGCTCCTGAGGCATCTCCTCTTCTACCATTCACTTTCCATGGCCTGTAACTTTCTCCCCAACATTCTGTTGTGGAAAAGTCCAAGTGTTCACGGAAGGTGAAGCCACATGATGACCAATAGCCACCTTCTCACTGTCCGCGTCGCCTCACTCTGCCCTGGCCGTCTAGCAGCAGGTCTGTGTCAAAGTGAATTGCATAGCAGTGCAGCCCCCCGAGGTACCCCAGGGGCCCAGTATTTGTTTAACTTCTGAAATTTCAAGGTTATATCCAATGAGGCAAACAAATCTGAAGTATGTTTTCTGAGTTTTGACAAGTGACCACACCTGCCCGCATCCAATACCAGTCAAGACGTTGGACTACTGGCCCCACCTGGAAGGTTCTCAGGCCAGTGCCGAAGAGTGTTAAAGCGTCCTCTCTGACCTGCCTTTTACCAGCAGGGAGTCTGGGCCCCGAGGCCGCCCCATGTTGGGGGCAGAGCCAGGCTTGGAGTTCAGGCCCTTGGGCTTTCTGCACAGCCTGGGTCCGGAGCCAGCTGGTTGCCAGGATGGCCACATCAGGGGGCTCGGGAACCTGGTGGGTGAAGCATCTGCTCTCTTTCCCTCCTGCCAGGTCAAACATCAAGCCGGACAAAGCCAATGCCAACCACCACAGTTTCCAGATGTACACATTTGACAAGACCACCAACTGCAAAGCCTGCAAAATGTTCCTCAGGTGCGGGAAACCGCCGCCTTCAGCCCTCGCCCTGCTCCATACCCACCCCAGGCCCCCGAGGGAGCTGTGTTCTGTGGGTCCCGAGTTCCCTGGGGGAGGCCCTGAGGGGTTAAGGGAGTATATCCCACAAGAGTCAGACCTGTGCCAGGCATGGCTCATGCTTGTAGTCCCCAGCACTTTGGGAGGCCGAGGCAAGCGAATCATCTGAGCCCAGGAGTTCAAGACCAGGCTGGCAACATGGCAAAACCCAGTCTGTACCAAAAATGCAGAAGTCAGCCAGGCGTGCTGGCCTGCACCTGTGGTCCCAGCTACTCAGGAGGCTGATGTGGGAGATTTGATTAAGCCCTGGAGGTTGAGCTGTGATTAAGCCACTGTGCTCCAGCCTGGGTGACAGAGTGAGACCCTGTCTCAAAAAAAAAGCTCAGCCAAGCCCTTGGAGTTTTAGATCTAGCCAGGAGGTAGTTGTTCCTGGGTGCCCAGGGATGCTGTGTGGGGCCGGGAGCCAGCCTGGACGAGGTGGGGAAGCAGGTGTCAGGCTACCTGGTAAGGGAGGGTCCTGGATGCTCAGGGCTGTGAGGGACGTGTGCACTGGGAGGCAGCCCGCCAGGTGAGCCTGGGTGGGGACAAGGGCCCTGACCGTGGCAGAGAGGTGTGAGGAGCCGGACCCAGCCTTGACATCACCTCCTGCTCTCCCCTGTACAGGGGCACCTTCTACCAGGGTTACCTGTGTACCAAGTGTGGTGTTGGGGCACACAAGGAGTGCCTGGAGGTCATGCCTCCCTGCAAGATCAGTGAGTACTGCCCCCAGTCCCTGGCCGCACCCGCTACCACCCAGGTACTGGGCCTCAGCCACAGCCTCCCACGGGGCAGGGAGCAGATGAGGACATTGATACTCATGTGCCCTGGGGCACACCCCTACCACACACCTCACACTTATCAGGAGACACAGCCAGGACGAATTCCATTCCAAGCTGTCTCTCCTAATTGGTACCCCTCCCCATCTCCTGCATCCCCTGCCCCACTCGAGGAGTAAGCTTCCAGAATCTCCACCCCCAAACCCGGCACAGATTCTCGGCAGGTGCATGGAAGTTTCTCATCACAGAAACACTGGTCACCCTGGGTTCTCCTGGTGGCTGAGGTCTGGCCGTCAGTAGCTATAGCCATGTTACTAAATGGTTAAGACACACACACACATGCACACGTACACACGTGGCATTTACATGGTTCCCTTCTGTTCATGCCCCTTTAGGGAAGCTTGAGGCTCAGTTGAGCCAGGCTGGCAGCGGGCAGAGGCAGGGATGGCCCCTGCACCCTGGAGGTGCCTCTGAAGCATCTTGGGTCAGGGGCATACTTTTGGGGTTGTGCCCAGCTCAGGGCAGCTGGACAGCGGTGCAAAGCCTGAGACGGTTCTCTCCAGAGAGGTTTCAGACATCAGGATGTCACCTCCATCATCGGCCCCCAGACAGGCTTGAATCCTTCAGCGATTTGTTTAGCACTTAGCAGTGGAGCTTCCATTCAACCAAGAACCCCCTGTGGCCGCAGGCTGAGTCTCCCTGGGCTTCCTGGAAGCGACTTGAGACAGAAAAGCAAGTCAGGCCAGCTTGTCACCCCGAGATGCCATTGCCCAGGATGTATTTTGAGCTGTGACTTTAGATCAGTAGTTAATTCATCATTTACTGTGAGTGCCAGCCCACTACCCTGTGCTGGGAAGAGGGTCAGAAGGTCAGCCCAGACCCCCTTGTCCCCACCACAGGCCCAGTGCAGCCCCCCAGCTGTGTGCAGGATCCCACAGCCCCTGGAGTGTGTGCTGGAGGGTTCCACAGGCAGCCCGTGCTTGAATGGAGCTTTTCTCCTCTGTGCCAATCAATACTGCCCCCTTGTGGCTGCCTGTCCCTCTCCCAGACGACTGGCTGCCGCTGCTAAGAACGTTTTTTAATTCTTCTGATTCTAAAAGTAACATCCTTACTTATCAAAAATTTGAAGAAAAAGAAAAAAAAAAGAGATGAATTAAAAAAAAAAACCATCATCCACGAACTTACCTAGAAATAATGAAAGGCATACTTCGGTATATTTCCTTCCAAGTTTTCTTATTTTGTAATTTTTCTGTTTCCCGCCCATTGTTAATTACTGATTTTTCATAGAAAGTTTGGAAAATGTAGAGAAGGGTAAAGGAGAAGAGAAAAACAACTCCTGCTATCCCCAGGCAAAGCCAACTGCCACCAGGCCCTGGGCACTGTCCTGCTTTTTATAGACACTCGTGCCCACCTTCCCACTCTGTCCTGCCTTCTGCAGACACGCGTGCCCACCTTCCCACTCTGTCCTGCTTTCTGCAGAAACACGTGCTGACCTACCCACTCTGCCCTTTCTGCAGACACGTGTGCACACCTACCCACTCTGTCCTGCTTTCTGCAGACACGCGTGCACACCTACCCACTCTGTCCTGCCTTCTGCAGACATGCGTGCCCACCTACCCACTCGTCTCTTTATGGTTTTGAAGTCTGCTTTTTCTTTTTCTTTTTTTTGAGATGGAGCCTCACTCTGTCGCCCAGGCTGGAGTACAATGGCGTGATATTGGCTCACTGCACCTCCGCCTCCCGGGTTCAAACGAGTCTCCTGCCTCAGCCTTCAGAGAAGCTGAGACTACAGGCGCGTGCCACCATGCCCAGCTAGTTTTTGTAATTTTAGTAGAGATGGGGTTTCATCATGTTGGCCAGGGTGGTCTCGAACTCCTGACCTCGTGATCCGCCCGCCTCGGCCTCCCAAATTGCTGGGACTACAGGTGTGAGCCACCACACCCAGCCGAATTTTTCTTAATAGTTGGGGTCCCCTCAGATAGGCAGCTGCAGAGCTTTTGAAAGCCAGCATTGCTGTCAGCATTCTCCCGTGTCCTGGTGGTAGCCCCTGGCTGGCACCAGCTCCATTCTCGGGGGCCCAGGACACCCCCAAGGGCTTGTGTGCTGGCTCCCCTCTTCGTCCCTGTCCTGGGGTACACCATCCTTGCCACATGTACCATTTTCCCTGCAGAATGTCCAAGCTGCCTTCCCTTTGATCCAGGCTTCTACCTTTGCTCTGGGGTTTGGCTCTGGGCAGTGTTCCTTGGACCTTGGTGGCCTTCACCTCTGGGCTCTGCCCAGGCAGGCTTAACTGTGTGCTACCCATGGAGGCCGAGATGCTGGCCTTTCCTCTGGGAAGCCCTCATAGGCACAGGCGTTGCTACTGTGCAGCTGGCCTCCACGGCACTGCCTACCTGCCCTTTGACCCCTGCCCACTGAGCTAGAACCTATTCTCTAGTGTCTGGATACCTCTGTCTGTCCAGAGCTGTCTGCACTGTTGACTGCTGGGTGGTGTGGAGGTCACATCAGCCGTGTGTGTGAGCTGTTGGGGTCCTTGCCTTCTCTGGTGGTGGGTGGCGGCCAGCTTGGCAGATGGCTGGGCCCTAAAGGGTCTTGGGGACATTTGTCCTCCTCCTGACATGCTGAGGTCTTGTGTCCTTAAGCGTGCCAGCACCTGGGTGTCTGAGCTGAGGATGGCAGGCGGGTAGCAAGCATACCAGTGCCTCCTCATCACGTGCCCCAGCAGGCATCACTAAGTGATTGTGGAAATCTCCCCTTCGAGTGCCAGGCAGCTGCTACCATTCAAAAGAGGTGGCCCAGGCAGGACAACCTTTTTGCCATCTCAGGTCTATTGCCCAGTCTGAGTTCTCCCATGGGCCCCCTAAAGCCAGAGCTCAGAATTCACTGCCAGAAGTAACTGAGAGGCTTTTGCAGCCATGAGCTCAGACCTGTATGCCCATGACCCATGTCCAAGAAAGACCACTTTGTAGCTTGGCTCCCCATCTTCAGCTCGGCCCAGAGGTTTGGGTTGGTGTGAGTGAGAGCCATGCGGGGCCCTGGCGTCATCGGGCTCCCCTCTAATGCCTGGCCTGCTTCCTTTCCAGCTTCTCCTGCCGATCTGGTGAGTCTCCAAACTGTTTCCTCTCCCTATTCCCTGGCCCCGCCACAGCCCTGTATGCCCAGAGCCAGAAACACCCAACTGTTTGCCTCTCACCACTCCTGGGGCCACCGGAGTGGTGAGAGGCAAGCCATTGTCTTGGATGAGCCACTTTTGGTCACAAGAGGCCCCTGCCTTCCTTGGTGGGTATCAGTAGAGTCCTCCTGGAGGCCCCAGCGGGGTCTTCCTGTCCCAGCTGCCCTGTCAGTCGCTTGCCTGCTGGCTGCTCGCGGCTGTGGGTGCAGCTCTGGGACTTGCAGCAGCCCCCCTGCCCCCGAGTCCCCAGCTGGCTCAGAGCCCGCTGTTCAGCAGATGTGGGGATGGAGTCACTGAATTCACTTCTGGGGCTTTGTGTGCCCCTCGAGCTGTGTGGTCCACGTGAACCAGCTTTGATGGAGGAGGGAAACTTAGTCGTATTTGGCACTGTGTGTCCCAGATGGACGCTACAAAGCCTGGGCTCAGAGTGGGTGGTCAGGACAGGCTTCCTGGAGGAGGCAGGAGCTCCTGGTAAGGAGTGGGAGAGGGAAGGGCACAGACCTTCCAGGAGTGGAGGTGCACAGAGGTGGAGTGTATTACCAGGGTCGGGGGGTTGCACTGGGAGCAGTGTCCTTGACCCCTCTATCTGGGAACGAGTGGGACGGGGAGGGCGGGGTGGGTTGACGCTCGCTTCTCTCATCACCGTGTCACTGTGTTCTGTCCTTGTCCTCACAGGACGCCTCTGGAGTGGGGCCAGGTGAGTCTTCTGGACTTGGCCCCTCTGTTGTCTCCCATGTCAGCCGTCACCTGGGAGCTGAGCCAGGCCCTGGGTGTGGTGATGGCCGGGTCTGCCCAGCCCCCCATGGCTCCAGGCTCCAGATGCTGCCTCCTGAGCCCTGCCCTACCGCCTCTCCCACCTCCGTGGCACCTCTTGGGAGTTGGCTCTGTTTCTGATAAGGCAATGCTGGGCTGTGGGGACAGGACCCATCCTGCAGAGGGGCAAGGGCCTTCCAGCCACGGAGGGGCACCAAGCTGCAGCCAGAGACCTGAGATCAAAACGCGCTGCCGTCCCCCTACCATATCCTCCGTCCCCCCACCTCATCGTCCATCCACCCACCACGTCCTCTGTCCCCCCACCAGGTCTTCCATCTCCCACCACGTCCTCTGTCCTCACACCACGTCCTCCATGCCCCACCATGTCCTCCGTCCCCCACCAGGTCCTCCGTCCTCCACTATGTCCTCTGTTCTCACACCATGTCCTCCATCCCCCGCTACGTCTTCCGTCCCCCCACTGCATCCTCCATTCCCCCAGCATGTTCCCCATCCCCCCACCTCATCCCCATCACCCCACCTCGTCCCCCGTCCCCCCACTACGTCCCCCGTCCCCCCACCACATCCTCCGTCCCCCACTACGTCCTCCATCCCCCCACTGCGTCCTCCATTCCCCCAGCAAGTTCCCCGTCCCCCTACCTAATCCCCGTCCCCCCACCTCATCCCCCGTCCCCCCACCACGTCCCCCATCCCCCCACCTCATCCTCCATCCCCCCACCACGTCCCCCGTCCCCCCACCTAATCCCCGTCCCCCCACCACGTCCCGCGTCCCCCCACCACGTCCCCTGTCCCCCCACCACGTCCCCCGTCCCCCCACCACGTCCCCCGTCCCCCCACCACATCCCCCGTCCCCCCACCACGTCCCCCGTCCCCCATCACATCCCCCGTCCCCCCACCATGTCCCCCATCCCCCCACCACGTCCCCCGTTCCCTGGCCACCTTGCTGTGGGTAGCTTAATGGAAACATGCTTGTAGACACAGCGTACGCAGACAGCATCGTGTCCTCAGCAAACTTCAGTGCAGTCAGGCAGTGCTCAGCACAGCCTCACCCCTGTCAGCAGGGACCAGGCAGGAGCTGGGCTGGGCCAGACATGGGCTCCTTACGAGCCACGGGTGGGGCTGGGTCAGAGTGAAGCTTGTCTAAGAGCAGCCTCCAGAGTCCCTGGGGCACAGCGAGGACCCCCATTTCAGGCCCAGAGCACCTCTGAGAGCTCTGTGGCCTTGGGCAAGCTGCTGGGCCTGCTGACCCGTCGCCCTCTCTTCCGTTCCACACAGCTGACTCTTGGTCACAGATCCGAAAGGTTTTTTGGAAGAAAAACAAAGTGACATCTGAAAATAAGCTTCCATTGCCAGTGACCCCTGAATCTGTTTATTGCATAAATAGTTTACTTGTGATATTTAGGATTTATGGAGGGGAGACGCAGGTGCAGGGGTTTGTGTGCTAGGGTGGGCTGCTGGCCCGGCCCAAGTCAGTCACTGAATGAGCTGCTAAGTCACCAAGTGAGCTGTCCTGTCCTTTGCAGGTCCCAAGATGGTGGCCGTGCAGAATTACCATGGCAACCCAGCCCCTCCCGGAAAGCCTGTGCTGACCTTCCAGACAGGCGACGTGCTTGAGCTGCTGAGGGGCGACCCCGAGTCTCCGTGGTGGGAGGTGGGTCCTAGGGCCTGGGAGGGTGGAGGGTCCATGGCTCCAGCTCCTCCCTGCTCCTCGGGGCAGAAGTACGAAGTCCTGCGCATCCCCAGGCAGGGGTGGAGGCAGAGGCCAAGGTAGAGGGCGAGGGACCACCAGGGAGGAGGAGGCACAGGCTGTCCAGCAAGGCCTCTCCTGCCTCAGTGCCTCCCTTCTGTGCCGTGGCATGCGTTCATGGGAACCTTAGCCGGGTCTCCCCAGGGTGTCTGTTTTCACATGGTAGGGGACGCAGTGTCCCTTCCTGGGAGAGGCCCTCCTGCCCTGGCGCCCAAGGCCTTTCTCCATTGGCCCCTGTCCTTCCTGATTCTCTTGTGTCTCTTAGGCCTTCCCCAGGCCTCTGCCCTGGCCATGCCATGCCTACCCTCCTCCCCACCCCTGCCTCAGCTCAGGCCAGAAACCTTGGCAGCATTGTGGGGTGAGCAGGCGGGGTCACTCCTTCCCCAGGTGGGCACAGGCGGCGGCATCACGATGTGGTTTGCGGTTCTGTTTCCAAGGCCCACAGTGGAGGCCTTTGTGGTGTTCATCCCTCTGAGCCCTCAGCAGATGGCTGGGCTGGAAAGGGTCCTGGGAACACATGCCCTCCTCCTGACATGCTGAGGCCCCGTGTCCTTGAGCGTGCTGGCACCCAAGCATCTGAGCCAAGGACTCAGACACCCACTCCTGGGCCCCTCCACCAAGCCTAGTGCTGAAGGGAGCCCCAAGACCCGCAGGTCAGCAGAGCGCCACGGGGGATCGGGGGTGCTTAGCCTAGCAAGGCAGCCTCCCACAGGAGCCGGTGTTAGAGCTGAATGTCTGTCCGTGTTCAGGTCACAGCGATGCGGTAGCCATTTTGTCGTGGTCATTACCAGTTCATACTCGGTGAGGAACTTCTTGTACCAGACCCTGCATTTATGTAACAGGAGGGTCAGAGGGCACAAAAGGCCGTCTGTGCTGTACAGATCCTCGGTCCTGCTCTGTCCCTCCCCGGCGGTAACCAGGGCCACAGCTTTTTGGGTGGCCTTGCAGAGGGGCTTTAGTGCTCTCAACTCTAGGATGGGATGCCTAGAGGTCAGGTGACCGGGTCAGCTGAGCTGGGGAAAGAAAACGTTGGTTCTGCCACCCTTCAGGAGCGGGCTTGCCATATGCTGAGTCCATGTAAATGGCCCCACACTCCCTTAGGCCAGGCTCAGCCCCCTTGTCCTAACCATCTCTTTCCTCCACCAGGGTCGTCTGGTGCAAACCAGGAAGTCAGGGTATTTCCCCAGCTCATCTGTGAAGCCCTGCCCTGTGGATGGAAGGGTGAGTCGTTTCCCATGGAAGCTTCTGGAGCACGGTGGCCTGGGTGCTGAGGGTTCCGGGAGCTGCCTCCTCACGTGGACATTTTTGGCTTGTTTGGGATGTCCTTGCTAAATTTAGGCTGCTGCGAGCTGCTTCCTGGAGCTGGAGCCCAGAGAAGATGGGTGGGGGGCTGCGGGGCAGCCCATTCCTCTGTTTAAGGGGCTCAGCTGATCTGGTGTGGTTTCATTGCAGTTGTAGAAACAGGCATCTCTGCAGCAGCTGTATTGCATTGGAGACTAGCCAGCTGCCTTTCTCCAAATTTCAGGGACTCTTTAAGTTCTCTTGGACTGTCATGCAGCCTTAGAGAGAAAAAGCTCCCTCATCCATAAGGAATCAAAGCTAGCCTTTATGCTATTTAAAATCAAGGCAATATGATATTTCTTTCATCTGAGGGATATGGAGCGAATTATCGGCTCTGTTAAGAAAGGCAGCAGCCAGCCTTGAGTAAAATGAGTTACTCCACCTCCAGCCCCCCGAAGGACAGCTAAAAGTCAAAGTGAAAGTGTGGGCTGGGCATGGTGGCTCACACCTAAAATCCCAGCACTTTGGGAGGCTGAGGTGGGTGGATCATGAGGTCGGGAGTTCAAGACCAGCCTGACCAACATGGTGAAACCCTGTCTTACTAAAAATACAAACATGTTAGCTGGGCGTGGTGGCAGGCGCCTATAGTCCCAGCTACTCGGGAGGCTGACGCAGGAGAATCGCTTAAACCTGGGAGGCAAAGGTTGCAGTGAGCCAAGATTGTGCCACTGCAGTCCAGCCTGATGACAGAATGGGTCAGGTTCCTTCCCTTCCCCAAGCCTCCGTTTCCCCGTGTGCATGGTGAATAGGGTGCAGAAGGAAGAGGTAGTCTCTGAAGCTCAGTGAGGCCAGGGTGGGGGGCTCTAGCCAAGGAGGGAGCCCTGCCTACTCACTGGAACGGCAGTGCCCGCCTGAGTGTGGCCACCAGCAGACCACCGCCCTAGGGCTTCGGGGCCTCAAGCAGGGAGCCTTGGCTGTGTGTGTGCTCACGTCCAGTGGCTGAGGACACCTCACACCCAGGGAATCAAGTCCGTGTTAGCTGGTGGCTGCGCTGGCGTCCATTCCATCAAACCTGTAGGGCATGTACTCAGCCATGAGGCTGTCCTGGCTGCCGCCCTTGGGTCCCTCCCAGGCCCAGGGCACTGGGGCTGAATCCACTGATGGTCCTGTCCAGGGCAGCCAATCCTGGGGTGAGGTCACTGACAACGATCCCCCTGAGCCCTACTGTGTGGATGGCCCTGGGTGAGCACTAACACTTGTGTGCTCTGCCGCCAGCCACCCATCAGCCGTCCACCGTCCCGAGAGATCGACTACACTGCCTACCCCTGGTGAGTGGATGGTGGGCTGCAGACATGGCATCCGGTGACCTCCAGTATGGGGGCATGCCCGAGGGTCGGGATGGTGCATGTGAGTGGCTGGCAGCGTGGGAGAAGGCATTAGTGGCTTCCCTCCTGGCCTGTAACTTGCTGGGAGCTTGGGGAATCCCTGTCCTGGAGGCAGCTGTTAACCCTCTCTAAAACAGCTCAGCTGGCTCAGCTATTTCGGGGAATAAAACCCTTTTTTTTAATTTGAACTGCACCATATGAAGGTGGCATATTAAGGTCACAGGGGTCATCACTGACTTAACTACAGTTGCTTGGTGGGGACAGTGAGGCTGTTTGAAGTCACCGAAGTCCCAACTCACCTGACGACATGGCAGTGGATTTTGGGGGGAACTTGCCTGGCCTTCTCCAGCGGGGGCTTCATTGCAGTACAGGTGGCAGGAAGAGCTTCATTTCAAAGTCTGTTCAAAATCCAACTGACAGAGACGTTGGCAGTCTGAAGCGTGTTACCAAAAACATCCACATAAGCCGTTATGCCATTGCTGCTTTTGAAATAGTGAAAATATATTTTAGGAAAGAAACTGGATCTACTGAATATGGCAGGGACTCGGGGTCTGTAGAGCAGAATACAGCTCGTGGGACTGGCTGGGGGCCACAGTCACCCTTCTCTCTTACCTCTCTCAAGATCTGTCCTGAGCCTCACTGTATCCCGTCGTAGGCAGGGCTCGGATGCCAGACCCCACCCGCGGTGGTGCCCGCTCATAGGGACCCAGCCTCTTCCTCTGGGGTGCATTCGGAGATGAGCTCTTGGATGAGGACTGCAGAGTGCTTCACGTGGCCCGCCACACACGGAGGGCTGGGCCCCTCAGACACTGTCCTCACTGCGGCTCATTTCCTCCCGGGCCCCTCCTGCAGGTTTGCAGGTAACATGGAGAGGCAGCAGACGGACAACCTGCTCAAGTCCCACGCTAGCGGGACCTATCTGATCAGGGAGCGGCCTGCCGAGGCCGAGCGCTTTGCAATAAGCATCAAGTAAGTGGCGGCTCTGGGCTCGGGGAGACGTGTCCCCCAGGGCAGTTCTGAAGGGGAGCCCGCTGTCCTCTCCACGCCCCGAGCTTGCGGGGCGTCACAGAACTGTTTGTGCTATGTGTCTGTATGACCTGGCAGCACCGTAGCGTTGTTTATGCTGGCATACCCACACTCACATGAGTAATGGGCTGCGCTGTGATGTCAGCAGGCCATAGAAACTTTTCCGCTCTGTTACAGTCTTATGGGACCATCGCCATCTTCTATACTGTGTTTTTACCACACCTTTTCTATGTTGACATCATGTTACAGCTGCCTGCAGTATTCAGTGCAGTACCTCGCTGTGCAGGTCTGTAGCCTGGGAGCAAAAGGCTCTGCCGTCCCCCCAGGTGTGGGGTGTGCGTTCGGCCACGCCCCCCAGGCCTGTGTCATGCACTCCGTGGCGTTGGTTCCGTGATGGAGGCGCCTGCCTTCATCTCTCAGGACATGCTCTGTGATTAAAGGCTGCCCGACTGCAGGAGAGAGATTTGTTTTGCCAGTTGCTTGCTAGGGATTTCCGCGTCCATGGTCATTAGGGGAATCGGGCCGTAGTTTTCTTGTGATGTCAGTGTCTGGCAAGGGGGTGGGTGGCATTGGGGGAGGGGTGCGGGGGCTCCCCTATGCTGTCATTTTGATTGAGACCTGAGAACACAAGAGGGCCATGAGGACAGAATGAGGTGAGCATCTGGCAGGGGCAGCAGCCGGTGCCGAGGCCCAGACAGGCTTGTGCTTGGCGCCCCTGAGGAGCAGCCCCAATGCCTGGCCGGCCGAGCGGATGTGCAGGGGTAGATGTCAGGAGATGTGATGTCAGGGCTGGGCCCAGCTGCTCCACCGGAGGAGGAGCAAATACTGTGCCGAGGCTCCCAGTGCCGAGCAGCAAATGAGCAGAAGCCCGGGACAGGACACCCTGGCAGGGCTGGAGGCCAGGAGAGCGGGGTGCTGAGCAGCTGGGGGTGTAGGGCCCCAAACAGGCAAGGAGGGAAGGCAGGTGCTGTCCGGGGCTGGGGTCAGACAGGGTGTCAGGGAGTGGCCCGGAGGCCAGGGATGAGGGGCTTCGCTGCAGCAAACAGAATGAGCCTGGCTGCCGAGGGGGCCGAGGCCATGTGGCCCTCACGCAGGGACCACCAGGGCCATGTGTTTCTTCAGGTTCAACGACGAGGTGAAGCACATCAAGGTGGTGGAGAAGGACAACTGGATCCACATCACGGAGGCCAAGAAATTCGATAGCCTCCTGGTAGGTGACTCCAGCCCAGCCTGCAGGGGACAGGTGCTTCCTCCCGGCCCTGAGCCAATGGCCGTGTTTCCTGTGAGGACCGATTCTTCCCAGTGTGGGAAGGATTTAGGGAATTGGTTTTGAAGGCACTGGGACAGCCAGAGCTATCTCACAGCCTCCTGAATTGGGACTTCTGACCCCCAAAGCCTGGGCAGGCTGGTTGACCCTGGTAGACAGTGCAGGGGCAGACTGTGGGCAGCCCGGGCCACCAGCATACCCAGAGCCCTCTCATGCCCATCCTCCTGTGACAGCAGAAAGCGAGGCCCAGTGGGGCTTCCAGCTGGGACCTGGCCCGTGTTACATACGTATGGCTTCAAACAACTCCTTCCCCAGCTCACCCCACCCTCCGTCCCAGCTGGAATGCAGTTACAGGCATAATGCTCAAAATGATGTTAAAGTTATGCCTACGTTTTCTTAATTACAAAAGTTGTATGTACTGAAAACTCCTGACGAGAGCCCCCAGGCGCTTAGCTGTGGCCACAGAAAAGCATAGGGTCAAGCAGAAATCCATAATCCCGGGCTGGGCACAGTGGCTCATGCCTGTAATCCCAGCACTTTGGGAGGCTGAGGTGGGTGGATCACTTGAGGTCAGGAGTTCGAGACCAGCTTGGTCAACATGGCAAAACAATGTCTACAAAAAATACAAAAATGAGCCAGGGGTGGTGGCGCGTGCCTGTGGGCCCTGCTACTTAGGAGGCTGAGGCACAAGAATTGTTTGTATCCAGGAGATGGAGGCTGCAGTGAGCCGAGATTGTGCCACTGCACTCCAGCCTGGGTGACAGAGGGAGACTCTGTCTCAAAAAAAAAAAAGAAAGAAAGAAAGAAATCCCGATGTTTGTGTCTCGGTTACCGTAAGAACCTCTGCACACAGCTTAGGCGTGGTTTTTATTTACCTTTTTAACATAATAATGCTGGCAATACTCCAGCTAATTTTTAGCCAACTTTTCAAGGTCACAAACATTTGCCATTAATGAGTCTTTCCCTGGCTGATGGCCGCATGACACTCTGTCACTTGGAGACCCTGTTATTTCTAGAAGCTTGTCCCATATGCTGGACAGAGTGTTTCTGGGTGTTCCATTACAGAGGCTTTTGCAGTCAGCGTCCGTGCTGGTCAGTGTTGGCATATTTCACAGATTACTTTTCCTAGAAACATTCGGGGAAGTTGCTGGTACCTTCATGGTACTGACCACCCACTGTGGGCTGCAGGGAAGTGGAAGGTTCTGAGGAGTCCAGGAGGCTAGTCTCTACCCAGCATGAAGCAGGAGGTGGGAGAGGGAGGCCAGCTCACTGGGGGCGGGCTTCCTGGAGGTGGCGGCGGCTATCAGTGTGTGTGTTTGCCCTGCAGGAGTTGGTGGAGTACTACCAGTGCCACTCACTGAAGGAGAGCTTCAAGCAGCTGGACACCACACTCAAGTACCCCTACAAGTCCCGAGAACGTTCGGCCTCCAGGGCCTCCAGCCGGTCCCCAGGTAACGCCCCAGCCCAGCCAGCACATCAGCACTCCTTGGAGGGGTCTGCTCTGGCCCACTTCTCAGGGCCCAGATCCAGCCCTCACAGACCCAGGCCAAGAGTCCCACCCCGGGAACATGGCACTGGCCCCGGCCCCCTGGCCGTCACAAATGCTGTCATGTGGCATCTCCTGGGCCATGTGACAGGCAGGGACTCCGCCTCTGCTCAGAATTGCCGCTCTGTGTCGGCTCCCTTGCCCAGAGACCAGCAGGGGTTGGAGGGGCCAAGTCCAGGCAGAGACCCCTGTGCATGGAGCTGTTACTGGTGGGAGAGAACAGGGCAGGCCCGCCGCTTCGAGACCCCTCCCTGTGCCCAGCCCTGGGCCTCCTCTGTGAGAGGCAGCCTGTTCGCAGATTGGATTCCACAGCCCAGGACAGAGAAGGTCACATGGAATCAGGCAGGGGCAGGCCCAGAGCATGTGACTTCCAGCTCAGGACTCTGTGCACAGTCATCCTGTGTCCTCCAGCCTGCAGTGACCTATAGGGCCATAGCTCCCACACAGGCCGAGCTGGCCAGGAGAGGAACAGCAGGCCTTAGTGAGCACCTGCTGTATGCCAGGCGAGGGCATGAGAGGAGGTAGTCCCAGTGTGCTCTTGAGGACACAGGCACAGAGAGTAGCTCCAGGGTAGCTCAGATGTGGCCGAGCAGCGCCTGTGCCTGGCTGGGGCTTGACAACTCGTGCTGCCCGCTGCCCCCCTTGCCTCTCCATAGGGCCTGCCCCGCCCCTTGCCCCCTGGCCTGTAGCTGTGCCCGCTGTGACTGCGCGGATGCCCTGCCGCCCGCCTCACGTTCTCTCTCGCCTCTTTGCAGCTTCCTGTGCTTCCTACAACTTTTCTTTTCTCAGTCCTCAGGGCCTCAGCTTTGCTTCTCAGGGCCCCTCCGCTCCCTTCTGGTCAGGTACCGCTGTTGCCCATGGTGTGGGGGGACCAGGCCTGCGGCAGCTGCCTTGGGAAACCCAGCACGGAGCTGCCCACTGGCCTCACAGCCCTGCTTGACATGGCCACAGTTGCCCGCAGTCTGGCGCTGGGTGGGGGAAGGAGGGGGCTGGGGAGGCTGGGCAGAGGCTGTTGTGGGCACCTGAGGACGTGTCAGGCTTGTCCTTGCCCTTGTCAACACCCACCCCCTGTGGACATGCCCACCCCAGTGGCCACTTGCCTGGCCCATCCACTGTCATTCTTCCTTATTCATCAAGAGCTTTGCCTCTGGTAGCAGAAAACAGGTGGCCACGAGGAGGAGCTGTGGGGCTTGGGTGCAGGGAGGAGGGGGTTTCAGTCAGCCCTGACTGCATGGCTTTTTGCTGCCAGAGTCAACACCCTTTCCCAGCAGCCCTGTGTGTTGCCCCCCTCGGCCATGGTCATTGTCACCTGTCTATCAGGATTCTGCATCTGGGCCAAGCTGGTTCCGCTGGGGTTCTTATTGGGTTTGGACTCTGGAATTGGGGGACCACTGGAGCAATGGTGGTCAAAGCCTGGTGCTGGGAATAGATGCTTGGTGCTGCGAAGAAAAGTCGGCACTGAGACAAAGGATCTTTCAGCAACACATTTTTACTTCCTGAGCTGCAGGAAGGGCACCTCGCTAGCTGTTGTGCCAGGAGAGTGCAATGAACAAAGAAAACACACAAATTTATCCCTTATGCATGTGGGGTCATCCTTACTGCTCTGTCTGATCTCCATTGGCTGGGGCCGGACCTCACAATCTAATCTAAAACCCGATTGGCTAACAACTTAAAACTTTTCTAAACAGGTAAAAGCAGTGGAGAGCTGGGACCTGCCTGTGAGCACGTCCAGCACAGATATCTTGGTTAAAGCACAAGGACACAGAATATACTGCGTGCCTGTGAGCGTGTCATGTCTCACAGCTACATAGGATAGGGCTTAACAAAGTTATTAGCATACTGATTCTTTAACAAGAAAGGAAACTATAAAATGGAGCTTTTCTACTTCCCACACCTGGGCACCTGCTCTTGTCCCTAAGAATATCCTCATTGCAGGGACTTGGATGTGCTGTGTCCCCAAACCCAGAGGGGGAGGGGCCTGGGATTGGAGGCCATTGTGTCCCTCCAGAGCCTTTCTGCTTGATATCCTTCCTCTCGGGGTACAGAGCAGAGTGCTGGGCACCAGGGGAGAGACCCAGCTTGGCCCAAAGGCCTCCTCAAGCCCTGGCCGAGCCCCTCCTGCAGCTGAGTGACACTGCCCATCTCCCTCCACAGTGTTCACACCCCGCGTCATTGGCACAGCTGTGGCCAGGTACAACTTTGCCGCCCGAGACATGAGGGAGCTTTCGCTGCGGGAGGGGGATGTGGTGAGGATCTACAGCCGCATCGGCGGGGACCAGGGCTGGTGGAAGGGCGAGACCAATGGACGGGTGAGTGGCCCCATCCTGAGTGCATGGGGCTGGCCTTGCTGCAGCCCTTAGCTGGTTGGGCTCAGGCAGACTAGCACCACAGCTGTGTCCACGTCCCAGGCTGTGTCCCAGCCACCTTCTGCCATCTCTCTCATCCTCACAGCAGCCCAGAATGCTGGGGTTCACAGGGGGAAACTGAGGCTCCAGCTGTTTATCATGAACCCAAGGTCATGCCGCTGGGAATCGGCGACAGAGGTCTGATCTGGATCCAGGCTCCTAGGACCCTCCATCCCATTCTGTTTTTATTCTGGGCTGCCCTCATGGCCATACTCTTCAAATTACTTTCAAGTCCCTAAGCTGTTTACAGGAAGGGAAGTCACAGGACTAAGGAGCACACGGTGTCCTTGCTGGGCTCCTCCTGTCATTCTCTAAGGCCCCATCTATGCCCTGGTGAGGTAGTAGAGACACACTAAGTCTTTTCCCACTCCCATCCCTTCACATTTTCCCAAGTACCAGGTGGGCCTTCAGTCCATGACCTCTTCATCCCAACGTCCCATCTGGACCTCTAGCTTTGACTCATATCTCTCAGTACCCACCCAACTAATCACCAGAGCTCCCTGTGCCACCAGTTAGAAAATGCCCAGCTTTCTTTGTGAGCTACAGCTGCACAGGGCAAGTGCACGGGGCTGCAGAGGGCTCCCAGTGCTGACCCTTCCATTGTCTGGTGGCAGGGGCTGCTCTGCCTTCACCTAGCAGGCAGTTTGCCCCTTGGAGGCCCTCAAATCTGATCCATTTTTTACCCAACTGCCCTGCAGAAGCATCAGGGCTACTGAGGCTTAGGTAGCTCACCTAAAGTGCTAGGACCACTGGTTCTCAAAGTGGTCCTTGTGTGATTGGCATTAAAAGTGCCTGAAGCTGTAATTTAATAAGCACATACCTGGGCCCTTTCCCAGATCCAGGTATTTTGTATAGAGCATTAAGTTTTAGAACATCTAGTTTGAGTATTACTGGATAATTCCTGTCAGTTTGACCCTGTTATCATTATGAAACGTCTCTTCTTTTCTCTGGCATTTATTCTTGCTGTAGTTTCCTTTATCTGCTGGTAGGATGACATCAACTTTCTTGGGGTTAGTGCTTTGTGTGGCATACTATTTTCTCTCATACTACTTAAACTTTTCTATTTCCTTATATTTAAAATGGGTCTCTTATAAAGAGTTGGGGAAGCCAGTCTGATCTGACAGCCTTTGCCTTTTAATAGGTATATGTAGCCCATTTACATTTAATGTAATTACTGAGCTATTTGGATTTAAATAATTTATCTAACTTTATTTTCTATTTGTCACATCTACTCCTTTTTTCTTCTTTCTTGCCTACTTTTGAATTAATCGTTGTATTTTTAATTCCACTTCCCCTCCCCCCAATTTTTTTGTTAGTTACATACTTTTTTCTTAAGCGGTAACCTTAGAGTTACAGCATGCACTTTGACTTCTTAGATATTACCTTAAATGTGTACTTTTTTTACTGTTTTTCAGACAGTGCAAGGAAGGACCTTTGCAACTTTTGATTGTATCCATTTTTCTCCCAACTTTTATGCCAGTGTTGTCATGTATCTTAATTCTATATATATTAAAACCTTAGAAGACATGATTTTTGTTTTAGGCAGTTGTGCTCATTTAGATTTACCCCCTGTTCACCTTTCCAAGGGATCCCCATTTCCTTCTGCATTATTATATTTCCACCCAAAACCATTTTCCTGCCGCCTGACTTTCCATCTCTTTAGTATTTTTTAAAGCTTATTTGCTATTAATGAATTCTCAGTTTCTGTTGAATCTAAAAACATCTTTATTTCACTTTTTAAAAAAATGTTCACATTGTACAATGTTTGTTACTTATAATTTTGAAACAAAGTTTCAAACTTAAAATTTCAACTTAAAAGTTGCAGTAACCTGCCCAGATTTACCAATTGTGAATGTTTTGCCCCATTTGCTTTATCACTTGCTCTGTGTGTGTGTGTGTGTGTGTGTGCACGCGCGCGCGCTCTGCTGTGGTGTGGTGTGTTTTTCTATTTCTCTCTAGCTCATTTCAGAGTAAATTGCAGAAATCATATTTCTTTACCCCTAAGTATTTCCTAAGACCAAGGACATTCCCCTTTGATATAATGCAATTATCAATCCACTGTTCGTATTCAAATCTCACTGGTCACCCCAAAAATGTCTTCTGTAGCTCTTTTCTCCTGGTCCAGGGTCCAATCCAGGATCATGAATTGTGTTGACTTGCTGTGCTCCTTAACTCTCTTTAATCTGGAATATTCCTCAGCCTTTCTCTGCTTTACATGGCTTACATTTTTGAAGAGTTTGAGCCAACTTTTTCATAGGATATCCCTCAATTTAGGTTTATTTGATGTTTCTTCATGATGTGATTGAGGTTCCATTGGGAACACCACAATGGGGATGTTGGCACTTTCTCCATGCCACAGTGTCTTGTTAGAAGATGAATCATGCCAGTTTGCTCATTATTTGTGACATTAAGTTTGATCTTGTGTTTAAGATTATATTTGCTCTGTTCCTCTACTATGAAGTTACTGTAATTAGCAAGTAATTTGCAGGGTGATACTTTGAGGTTAGGTAAATATTTTGTTCCTCTTCAAACTTTCATGTACTAGTTTAACTTCCCTTGATGAATTTTATCTATTCTCTTATTTCTCTTATGGCTGAAAAATAGGTATTTTTTTTTTTTTTTTTTTTTACTAATGATCAATATTAGTTAGCATTCTACTGTAAGGAGAACTTTCTCTTCCATTGTACTTACTCGTTCTCCCCCAGGAATCAGTCATTTCTCCAAGGAGACCTAGTTCATCTTTGAAGGACACTTCCCTGGCTGTGGAGTCCCAAGTTGGCGAATGCTTTATTTCAGCACTTTGCTGATATTCCACTGTCTTCTGGCCTCCATTATTTCTGCAGAAAAGTCAGACAACATACTTCGTGTTGCTCCTTTGAAGGAAATGCTGCTACTACCCACTGTGCTGCATGTAAAAAAAAAGGCCTTTGTCATTGTTTTTACTATAATGTGCCTAGGTGCGATTTTCTCTTTATTTATTCTGCTTAGGATTCACAGAGATTTTTCAACCTGTGGCTTGATGTCCATCACTTTTGGAAATTTCTCAGCCAGAGTAGTATCTGCAGGCAGCGTGTCTGTTCCATTTTCTCTTTTTCTCCTGGAAGGACTTCATTCACATGGATGTTAGAACTTTTTACCATGGCCTCATATTATTTCCACAATTTTATGTGTTTTTCATCCTTTTTTCTCTCTGGTTTTCTATCTAGTCACTTTCTAGTGACCTGTCTTACAGTTTATTAGTCTTCTGTTTGTCTAAATCCCTCTATTGGATTCTTCATTTCATTCATTATATTTTTCCGTTCTAGGATTTCTATTTGAGTTCTGATTTAGGTTCTCTGGTAAAATTGCCTGCTTTTTCATCTATTTTCTTTTTCTTTTTTTAAAGATGGGGTTTCACTATGTTGGTCAGGCTGGTCTTGAATTCCCGACCTCAGGTGATCCGCCCACCTTGGCCTCCAAAGTGCTTGGATTACAGGCGTGAGCCACCATACCCGGCCCATTTTCTTAAAAGTATAAATCAGAGTTATTTCTCTTGCCTGACAGATGACTTTAATACCTCTGGGTTGATTTCTACTGCCTGCTTTTTTTCTCTTGTATCATTTGGTCTTGACTGAATGCCAAGCTTGTGTATTAAGGAAAAACTGTAGTGGTTCTGGGTGATGTTCTTTTCCTCAGGAAGATTAATGTTTTTCTGACTGGCAGCTGGAGTGTGGGCTGATCGTCTTAAACTAGCCAAGGGTAGTGTTTTTCTGGGTTGCTCTTATTCCCAAGCAATGACTCCACCAGGTCCTTCTGTGTAGCAGGCCTGGCTGAGAACTCTGGACTTCTGAAGGGTCCCCCATCTCCGTGAGTCTCTATTTGTCCCCACCCCAACATAGACATGCATACATGTGCTTACACACACACACACACACAGACACACACACACACACAAAATCTTGCTGTCTTTTTCAGATCGGCTGGTTTCCTTCAACGTACGTAGAAGAGGAGGGCATCCAGTGACAGCAGGAACATGGACAGGACTCATGGATTTTCTTGGGAGATCCACTCCAGCCCTGAAGTCTGTCTCTAGCTCCCCTGTGACTCAGTGGGAAATACCAACCTCCCAGGCTTCCACCACCCACAGGGATGGGGAGGGTGTTGAAAGTCCTAAACTCAAACCGTTTCACCGTCAGCCTGCCCTCGGCGACCCGTCACTGGGTATGCTATTGTACATAGAGGAAACCTGGGTTAGCCCCACCCAGAGCGCAGAGGAGGGGGGCACCAGCAGTGCTGTGAGCCAGGCTCTGGGTGGCAGCTGAGGCCAAAAGCCCATCACCTGCCCCTGTCCAACTGAGATGGCGTTCAGGAACCTAGGTTTCAACTGCAGGTGCTGTCCCCGGGAGGGCTAAGGACAGCAGAGAGGACCTGCCCCCAGCCCCTCTGCTCAGCCCCTGGACTCAGCCTTGCCTGTCTTTTCCTGCTGCTCCCAGGGGGAGGTGTCAGGCCTTGGGAGGCAGACGGGACCAGAGCCAGGCTATTCACTGCAGGCCCACTTGCCCTATTGTGCTAGGGCACAGGAGGACAGAGCACTGTGGTTACCCTCTGCAGCCCCTCTGGCTCCCCAGACCTCCCTGACTCCCCTACTCCCCTCCATGCCAGGGGCACACACAGGGCAGGCCCCTCTCTTGGGAGGGGCCTTAGAGATGATGAAATTCCAACCCTGCTTCCCGTCAGTGGTACTGTTCCCCGTCCTCTCTCTGAGAGGCCTTTTCTGGAGTCCTAGGAAAGTGTCGGCCCTGCTACCAGGTCAATACATCTTTTGTAAACCCTGAAATGGGCAGGGAAGAAAACAGGGTTTTCCCCTCTCTAGGTCCCCACCAGGTCCCTCTCCAGGAGGCCCCTCTTCTCTCCCGCAGGGTAGTCCCTGAGGGTCTGCCCAGCCTTGGCACGAGAGGCTGGTTCCAGTCCCTGGCAGGGCTTCCATCCAAGGGCCCCTGCAGCCTAAAACTGGGCCTTGGCCAACTCAGAATAAGTGCTCTTGGGGCTCTACCCCATTACCTCCCTCAGCCGTGACTCCTGGCCTTTGACCTCTGGCTGGGCTAGCCAGGCCCTGGTTTCTCTACTCAGATGTTGCATGAGACCTGGTGACAGTGTCTCCCCCGCCGGCTCCTTGCAAAAGCCTCCGGTGAGACCTGGGCTTCCTATAGCCCCTTCTCCCTCCAGCCAGCTGCACAGCCTGTGGGAGGTGCCCAGCCCAGGCTGGGTGTCGGGGAGGCTGGTCCCTGCTGTGGGTGGTGCTAGGGACCTAGGGGCTCCTTCTGATGCTGGCCTTGTAGCCTCTGGCCTCGGTGTCTCTGGAGTGTAGGGGAGAGGCGGGAGGAGTCATGGCGATGGGCAGCGGCAGGGGGAGAGAGTGGTCCCTGACAAAGGCTCGGGAAATGAGGGGAGGTGGAGGCAGGGCAGGGAAGCCAAGAGCTGGCCTGGGAGAGAGCACCTGGGGCCTGCGTGTCAGGGCGCACCCAGCACTTTGCGCTCCGCGGCCCAGCGGGCGCCGAGGATGGTGGGAGGAAGCCAGCAGCCCCCGTGTTCACTGTCAGCAGAAAGGTCTTGTGTTTTGGTTTTGGGGTTTTTGTTTTGTTGTGTTTTGTTTGGCTTGTTCGTTTTTTAAGGGGAAAAAGGTTTGTAATTATTTCATCTAAATCTCCCATTATATATCTGTGAATAGTAAGAGATTTTATAATAGCAAGAAAATGATGTATATTTTATTTGTTGACATCTAAGTCATGGTCACGACGGACACTGAGAAAAAATGATTCAGAACCCTGGTTTTTGTGGATTTTCTGTTTTGTGTGTGTTTGTTTTGAGATCTGTATTTGGTTTGGTTGGCTTTTGCACTGCACAAAGGCAGGAGGGCTGGAGGGCTGGGTGCTGCCTGGGACCCAGATGGTTTCAGCAGGAGATGGGGTCTCCTCCGTGGGGGCTCAGCCGCAGGGCCTGAGATTAACATGTGGGAGCCCGATGCATGCGGGTCAGGGATCTGGGCCCCCCAGCTGGCGGCAGCCCCAAATGGACACAAACTGTACATTTGCCAATGGGTTTTCTCAGACCATGGTTTTTACTGCAAATAAAGCTGAGTTCTTTTCTGCAAGTGGTCGGCCTTTCACGCCTGGGGAGGAGGGAGTGGCTGGACCCCTTCACCTGAGTCCGCAGGGTCTGTCTGAACTGGGGTGCCTAGATCTCAGGGTGGCCCAACCTCGGCAGGGTCTGAGACATAAGGAGGTAATGGTGCCATGGCCACCTCCCGGCTGGCACAGCACCACCCTGGAATTCTCCAGGTGGCATCAGGCAGATAAATGGGATTCTAATTCCTGCCCATCACTTGGGTACCTCCTGAGCCCCTGTTTCTTTACATGTATATTGAAGATAAAAATAGCTTCGGTGCAGTGGCACACACCTGTCATTCTAGCACTTTGGGAGGCTGAGGTAGGAAGATGAGGTGGGAGGATGGCTTGAGCCCAGGAAGTTGAGGCCAGCCTGGGCAACACAGTGAGACCCTGTCTCTACAACATTTTTTTTTTTAGTAGTTGGGCATGGTGGTGCACATCTCTGGTCCAAGCTTCCTGAGAGGGTGAGGTAGGAGGATCACCTGAGCCTGGGAGGTTGAGGCTGCAGTGAGATGTGATAGTACCACTGTACTCCAGCCTGGGCAACAAACCAACACCCTGAATGTAAGGGGGAAAAACACTCTCCATTTAGGTGCGTTCTGTGATGTATGATAGAGAAAACCAAAATAGAGAACAAGAGGTTTGTTTCTCCTTCCCCTCATGGAGGGGCATCCAGAGGTGGAAGTACTAGGCTCCTTTGTCTTGCCCTGGTCCCTGAGCCATCAGGAACCTTGGCCCCCTGCTCCCTGATCCTCCAGCCTCAGGGATCTCCCTGATCCCATGTCCTCAATGGCTCCTCCCTGATTTCCCATCCTCAGTGGCTCCTCCCTGATTTCCCTTCCTCAGTGGCTCCTCCCTGATCCATCATCCTCAGTGGCTCCTCCCTGATCCCTCATCCTCAATGGCTCCTCCCCGATCCCCCATCCTCAGTGGCTCCTCCCTGATTTCCCATCCTCAGTGGCTCCTCCCTGATTTCCCTCATCCTCAGTGGCTCCTCCCTTATTCCCTCATCCTCAGTGGCTCCTCCCTGATTTACCATCCTCAGTGGCTCCTCCCTGATCCATCATCCTCATTGGCTCCTCCCTGATCCCTCATCCTCAGTGGCTCCTCCCTGATCCCTCATCCTCAATGGCTCCTCCCCGATCCCTCATCTTTAGTGGCTCCTCCCTGATCCCTTGTCTTCAATGGCTCCTCCGTGATCCCTTATCCTCAGAGGCTCCTTCTCCCTGATCTCCCATCCTCAGTGGCTCCTCCCTGATCCCTCATCCTCAGTGGTCCTCCCTGATCCCTCATCCTCAGTGGTCCTCCCTGATCCCTCATCCTCAATGGCTCCTCCCTGATTCCTCATCCTCAGTGGCTCCTCCCTGATTCCTCATCCTCAATGGCTCCTCCTCCGTGATTCCTTATCCTCAGAGGCTCCTCCTCCCTGATCTCCCATCCTCAGAGGCTCCTCGTTCCTGATCCCTCGTCCTCAATGGCTCCTCCCAGAGGCCCTGGCTAAGAGGCTCCTCTTCCCCATCTCCCATCCTCAGTATGCCCTTCCCTTCTCATAGCTGCCTCATGGTCCAAGGTGGCTGCTGGAGCTCCTGCCACAGGGCCATGGGAGAGAACAGAGATCCCCTGACAGCTCTGGCCAGTGCCTGGTCAGGAAACAGCCTATTTTCCAGAGGTGGAAACTGAGGCTGAGACATGTGAAGTGACTTGTCCAAGGTCACATGTGACCCCTTTGCAGCTTGGCCTGATGCCAGAGCCCACGTTTCTGTTTGGGCAGCACCCCAGTTCCTAAGCAATAACTTTCTGCCTCTCAGGCCAGCCCCTGGGTCTCCCACCCTTCCTGCAGACTGGACCCTGGCCAAAACTTCGCCCCACTGAGGCTGCTGGGAGGCGGACCCAATGGACAGGGTGAAAATGCTCCCTTCTCGAGGAGCTTCCAACCCCGGGAGCCTCTCCCTTGGGCCGAGCCTTCTCCCTGACCTGCAGGCTGGACAATGCCCATCTGCCCTGGCCTCGCCCCATTCACTGACACCACAGCCGAGTCTCCAGGAGGGACCCCCGTAGGGCTGGCCCCACCCTCCTTACGCAGCCCTCCCTGCTGGGAAGCAGCCCCTGGACAGCTGACCGCGGAGTGGGCGTCCCAGGCTGGTGATCAGAAGGTCGAGTCAGGGAGAAGCGATGGGGCCTCGCACTCTGAGACAAAAGAAAATAACTCACTTACTGTTTTCGTCTACCAGGCATGGGGGCCTTGCGCGAGCACCATCCCTCCCCTCGCCCCGCCCCTGCCCTCGCCCTCTCCTCACCCCCGCCCCGCCTATGTCCTCGCCCCGCCCCACCCACCCTGCCTTCCTCGCCCTCCCCTCCCCTCGCCCTGTCCTAGCCCCCGCCCCGCCCCTCCTCGCCTTCGCCCCGTCCCTGCTCCCCCGCAGTGCCCGCCCTCGCCCCGCCCCTGCCCCCTCCCCCGCACTGTGCCTGCTCTCATCCCGCCCCTCAGCACCCTCTCCCCGGCTCCTCCTCGCCCCCGCCCCGCCCCTCCTCGCCCTCCCCTCTGCCTGCCCCAGCCCCTCGCACTGTCCCTGCCTTCGCTCCGCCCTGGTTGGCTCAGGCTGCTGTGACCCCCGCTGCCTCAACTCCGAAATCTGCTTTCTCACGGTTCTGAGGCTGGAAGTTGGAGATGCGGTGCCGGGGGGTCGTTGGTTCCTCCTGAGGCCTCTGCACGCTGGTCCCAGAGGTCTCTCCCTCTTCTCGTGGGGACCCCCATACTCTTGAATTAGGGCCCTTTCTCAGGACCTCCTGTCACCTCCCCTCTCCAAAGAAGTTCCGTGATGGCTTCACAGCAAGAATCACTTCCACTCACTCCAGCGTCCTAGCGAGGGTCTACTCTGTGCCTCTTTGATGCCCTGGAGGAAACCAAAGGGAGAAGCCGCAGCCCCGGGAAGCCCGGGAAGCTGATACGCTGGGAGTGGGGAGGGGTGGGGAGAGCTGAGGAAGCTCTGGATTGTTTGTTTTTCCTTTTGCCCCTTTTCTCTCTCCCCGTTTGTCCCTCTCCCTGTCTTTCTCTGAATGTGTTGCAGTTTTCTACAGGACTCATACAATTCTTTTCTTTCTTTTTTTTTTAAGAGATAGGATCACTGTCACCCAGGCTGGAGTGCAGTGGCCCAGGCATAGCTCACTGCAGCCTCAAAGTCCCGGACTCAAGCAGTCCTCCCACCTCAGCATCCCAAGTAGTTGAGACTACAGGCACATGTCACCCTGTCCAGCTAATTTAAAAAAATGTTTTGTACAGATGGGGTCTTGCTGTGTTGCCCAGACTGGTCTTGAACTCTTGGCCTCAAATAATTTTCCCACCTTGGCCTCCCAAACAGCTAAGATGATAGGTGTGAGCCATTGCTCCCAGCCGAGGTGTTTTCTTTTTATCTATTAAGTGTTGCAAAAAATAGGACTTTCATACTCGTGCTAGTGCTCTTGTTTATCCAATCAGTTTTATTGATCCCTTACCTGAGACTCAACATTGAACAAGACCAGCAAGGTCTCAGCCGGTTTCTAGTGACATATCAGGCTGAGCTGACATGGAGGCCTCTCTCCCTCCACTGCCAACACAGAAACCCTTGAAAAAAACATGCTCGGGCCATAACTGAGCTGGAGAGAAGGGCCCATTCCAGAAAAGGAGAGAAACCGAAGTCTGAGGAGACTTGGGAGCTAACCCCAGGGCGGTCTCTAGGGTCTTGGGCTCCCTGGACCTAGGACTAGTTCCAACACCCTCCTGGCATTGGGAGCCATGGCTGCAGATTCTCGGAGGCCAGAAGCCAGCACTGGCACCCCCCTCGCCCTGCACAAAGTTTAGCATCTCAGAGAACCCCCGTCGTGCAGAAGAGGCTGAGGATAGCTCCAGCACATGGATAGCTGGAGTTTCTGGAGAACAAAGCCAAAATCATGGAGCAGGAGAAATGTTTTTTTTTCTTTTCTTTTCTATTTTTTGAGATGGAGTCTCTGCTCTGTAGCCCAGGCCGGAGTGCAGTGTTGCGATCTCGGCTCACTGCAACCTCCGCCTCCCAGGTTTAAGCAGTTCTCTGCCTCGGCCTCCCGAGTAGCTGGGATAACAGGCACATGCCACCATGCCCGGCTAAGGAGAAATGTTTTTAAGTGGTTTTTAAAACCACTTCTATTTTTAAAGAAACAGAAGACTAAAAAGGGACACCATACCCCACACTAAATGAGCACAGAATGCTTCACCTTGGAGTTCAAAGGTAAAAAGCAATCCACTGGGCACCCGAGCAGAAAGAACAAGTCTCTTAGGAGAAAAAAAACCAATCAGGTTTGCTTGAGGCATTTTCCCAGTAACACTCAGCAGTACAAGGCAATGAACAATCTGCACAAGGTCTTCATGGCAAGAGGGACCCGAGGGTTTGATGCTCAAGTAGCGGCTCACTTGTAAGGCAGCAGGCAAAGCATTGCCACATGCAAAGAAAGACTCGGGGGCAACCGGGGGTCGTGGCTCATGCCTAGAATCCCAGCACTTTGGGAGGCTGACGCAGGTGAATCACCTGAAGTCAGAATGAGACCAGCCTGGCCAATATGGTGAAACCCCATTTCTACTAAAAATACAAAAATTACCCGGGCATGATGGGGGGTGTGCCTGTAGTCCCAGCTACTCGGGAGGTTGAGGCAGGAGAATTGCTTGAACCCGGGAGGTGGAGTTGCAATGAGCTGAGATCATGCCATTGCACTCCAGCCTGAGTGACAGACTGAGACCTTGTCTCAAAAAAAAAAAAAAAAAAAAAAAGACTCAGGGCTGTTGCTTAGGGGAGCACTTGTTTGAACAATGACCGGGGCTAACTTCAGCTGGATGACTGGGAAGATGCCCAAGCACTGGGTAGAGTGTTGAGCCCGGATCTCTGCAAACAAGTTTTTTTTTAAATCAAACAAAAGAGATTTTAAAGTTTTTTTGCATTTCCTCCAGAGTGAGGACTTTGTCAAACGTTTTGCTCTA